GGTAGGACGAATACTCCACAAAGGTCGCGCTGGGTTCTTAACAAGTATTAGGTACTCGGTATCTTGAAATGGAGTCTTTCTATATATACATACATACCTATAAGCTCTATCATATCAGTCAGTATATTATACAAGATTTACATAGCCGCCGCCTTTCAACCTCGAGGCCTGTAAATATGTACAGGGAGAATAGAGACTAGGTACATGTATGTGACTAGTAATTTTGGTCATCGCTTAACGCTCGACAGCCGTTTGGAGCGTCTCTTTAGGGTCCTTCTCCTTGGGGTCCTTCTCCTTTACTTGAACACTCTTCTCCAGTACGCCCATAGTCTTTAGCCTTTCGGCCCTAACTCTCGCCTTCTCATCTATGTGTTTCTTGACAAGGTCCGCCCCAGCTACGCCCGCTAACATACCTCCTAAGTGTGATGCAAGGTCGAGGTTATGTGCCTTCTTTGAGAATAGGGGGAGCACATGTAGGCCCAATATTAGGCCGATAAAAGCCAAGCCCTGCGGGCCAGACATCGGATCAGGGGGGTACCCAAATAGTTTAAACTCGTCGTACCTGTGTAGCCAGAAATACGCACCGATGATTCCGTAAATTGCACCCGAAGCGCCAAGCGTAGTATACGTTAAGCCCCCAGAGAGAACTAAACGTGCCAGACTACTCATGAACCCTAAAGTTCCAGAAGCAAACCATAAGGCGAGAAAATTGCCCCTTCCAATCTCGTCGTGAAGCCGAACGCCGAAGAACCAAAACGCTACCATGTTTAAGGCTACGTGGCTGAATTTATGATGAGAAAATATCGCTCCAACCAACTGGAGGGGCCGCGGTGTCGCGGGAATAACTATGAAGTATCGGTTCAGGAGTGCCCATAGCGGTGGTAATTTCCAGGAAATCCAAACTGTCAAGTTAATTCCGATGATAGCAAGACAAGTTGCTGCTGCAGGCGGAATAGTCGGCCACAATCTTTCAGATCGTCTCGGCGGCGTATACATGATAGCATACACGGCGCATCCTGCCAGGACTATAATGGTCATAGCGAATTGTGGGAGCAGACGTTCCCAAGCCTTCATTTCGGGAGGCGCCTCGAGGTCGGATGTTGCGCGCGCTGCCCACTTCTGCACGAACGGGCTCAACTCTTTTGGTTTCTGCTGCTCAGTCTGAAGAGTGCCGATGTTCTTCGACGCCTCCTCTTCCTCGCGCTTTTTCCGTTCTTCCTCCAACCTCTTCTCTTCCGCCTCGCGTTTCGCAATGTTATGAGCGCGAATTCGGTCGAGAGGACTTACTCCATAAGGTGAATCGGTTTTATTTATTTTCGGGAGTCGTCCGGTTGGAGTTAAAGTTTCATTAGTTACGGTATCGGAAGAGGAGCCTTCCGGGCTACTTTCTCCGGTTTGCTGTTCGCCACTCCCATCTTCTTGCTCTAAGTATTTGAGCTCGTCCTCAGCTCGTAGGCCAGCATTAATAACCTCGTCTACGGGAATATTAGCACGTAGATATCCCAATGCTTTCCTTTGATCCGCAGCGCTGAACTGGGCCGTATTCGGTCGAAGATTCGGATCATCTAGAGTTCCTGCTACTCGACGACCATGTAAAATTCGAAGAAGCTTGTTTGCCAACGAAGCAGGGAGTTGCCCTCCACCAAATATCTGGTTAACCTCTCTTTGGTTGAGATCTTCCTTTCGGAATGGTAAGCCCTTGCTATCTTCGTAGGAATCAGGTAATTTCAAGTAATGTGTAATCGCGCGAAATCTAGACAACATTCGAACGGATATTCGAGGTGACGGGTTATTTGGACGGTAATTTCTCGGAATTGTTGAAGGGCCCATGGCCCCTCTGTTGTCATATCGGCAACATGGCGTTATGGAATGGTGCCTCGTTGAAAACGAGCGAGCCGCATAAGAAATCAGCGAGCTCCCGGAGTTACCAGTGATGGCCCGCAAGCCAAGCCGAAAACTTGACGGGGGAGAGAGTGAGGGGAGAATAGGCATGGTATAGTGATTATACCATCATGCCGCTATATCATTTTTAACCATGTGACATCCATAAGACTTATGTGGTGACTTGTGTGGTCGAGAAAAATCTAGGTCTTGAGCATGTTGCCGGATAGATTTGATACTTCAATTTACCGCAACCGATTTTCAATGGACCCATTTCAATGTTTGCGCCAGCTGCATGGTTAGTTGTATCACACTAATATGATTGGCTCAAGGGCAACCCCGCGCTAACTTCAAATCAACTCAATTCAACGGAGCTCTTGAATATACCTAGGTACATGAACCTCTTACTACATGCATATGTAGGTACCTATCTATTACGAATATATATCACGAACTCACAATTCTATAGATATTGTTATGTACATTTTTCGTAGATCCTTAATTATCGTCTTCAACGACACGAAAACAAAGGGGACATCTCTATTTGGATATGTGTCTTGGAAAGCTAGACGACTCACCCAAGTCACAATTCTCCAATATCCACTTGTTCCTCGAAAACCGCAACAGGAGAGGCATCAAAGTTCCTAATCAAGTCGTAGTAGAACCTACCGATTTCTAGATGCGCATACATATCTACCCTTTCATCGACCGTATGAGCATTGGCGTTGCGTCCCTGACGAGTTGGCGTCCACCGATAAATGTGGTTGGACAAGTCTTAGAAATCAAAAATTAGCAACTGTTATTAGGCGTTTAGACGAATCTAGAGCTTCACTTACTCAGATAATGGCGAGTGTCTGTATTACCCGTCATAAGCTCTCCCACGGGAATCACCTTCCCGCCTTCGAAAGCAAAACTATGCTGGATCGTTCCTGAGAAAACATCCCAGATTGGCCCTGACGTCGGTGAGATCGGAGCAACCAAAGTAGATTGAGACGATGTAAGGACCAGTGTTCCATTGTATTCCACCTCATACATCGGGTCTACAGCTCCGTCGCTGGGGTTCTCGTCCTCGTCCAATTCAATATTTGGATTGTGTTCCTCCCCCTTGAAGGCGCTGACCGTCAAACCAAACTTTTTCACGATTGGCTTGATCTGCTTCAAGATGTTGGCCTTCACTGCCGATATGGAATCCTGAGGCGCGATGCGGTGGTTTACACCGATCTTGATATACTCTGGCATAGCGTTGATTTTTACCCCTCCGAGGAAATAGTCGACAGCTTGAGAGGTCTGTATACGATACTGAGTCGGCCGATCGATCGTTGCCAATTCTTCGGTCAATGATTCCAAGTCCCCTTTGTTTATTAGCTTGGTGATGTTCGGTGACGCATCAGGGGAATATTTTGCCTGGCAGACAAAATGATTGTAGATGGGCGAGCCCTCGATAAGTTTGGGCTTCCACGGATTAGATTCCAGTTGGTTTACAAATTCGGCCATTATACCAATACCAGTATGCGGAAACGGCGCTGATGAATGGCCTCCATTTACGTAAAGTTCCAACCAGATGTCGACATGACCCTTTTCCATAACAGCAGGAAGGGCGTCTACAGTATATAGTTAGCCCAAAAGTACGGGAAACGTATTCTTACACTAGGTACTTACACAAAGTGTCGTTGCCAAGAAGTTGCAATCCCATTCCTCCTTCATCGAGGATGAGGGCCACTGAATTAGGGCCATACCGCTTTTCTAGGAAAGGCCCAATATGACCAGCTCCTTTACGACCTGAACACTCTTCATCAAATCCAAGTGCGAGTATTATGGTTCTCCTTGGCACCCAGCGAGGGTTGGATAGCAGGGCTTCTAGAGCAGAAAACAGACCAGTCAAACTATTCTTGTCGTCTGATGCGCCCCGTCCCCATAGCCATTGCCCATCGAAATGGGCCGAGAATGGTGGGTACTTCCAAGTTGAGTCGTCGGCAACGGGTACCACGTCTTGGTGCGCAGCTAACAGGAGTGGTTTAAGGGCAGGCTCTGTTCCCTTAATCGTATATACTAAACCGAGCGTATTCACTGTCTCGCGGGCCGCCCGAAGATGACTATGGATCACGGTTAGTTCGAAGGGTTAATGGAATATCACGATTTGCTTAATGGTACTGGAAGAAAACATTGATATAGACACTTACATATTAGGATATAAAGCAGCCAGGGCCCTGTGTAAATCATAGAATACATCCCATCTAGGGTCTTCGCCAGGTTCTCCGTTATCATCGTACGAGATAGAAGGTATCTTCACAATGGTACCATGTCTCTTAACCTGAAGCAGCAATGCCTCTTGATCAGAGAAGATATCACGAGCAGCCGGTAGTCCGTCTTTCGAAGGGTCCACCGCTGGCGGAATATCGCACTTGAAAGAGGCCGGGCTTACATCGTTGAGTATCTGTTGAGGCCCGTCCTGTTGACTTGATCGAGCTATAGTAACCCCCGTCAGAGTACTGGCTACAAGAGCCAGTTTAGACACGATCATGGCAATATCTAAAGAATGCCAAAAAAAAAAAATATAATATATAATTAGTGTCCCGTTATATACACACGAAATGGCCAAGATTCCCGGAAATTGGAAACGGATACATATGGTAAATATAGCACTTTCACCTCCCCAGCTCTGATGGCTATTCCAATTCCCGAATGTGATAATAGGAGCTCCATCTTGTAGAGAGCATCAATTCTGAATGGTCAATTCGAGCAGATACGACTCTTAGGAAGATAAGGAGGTTCGCACTATACGTAATAAGATGCCGAGTAGGTAGGTAGGATGCCGAGATACAGGGCTCTTATCACATCATCGAAATATCCTTAGACAGCCGAAACTCCAATGGTTGAAGGTGTGGAGAGTTGCGATAGCGGTCGTGATAATCTTATGTACTTTAGGTACATAATATACATAATACATATACCTAGGTACATGTAGTGCCCCGCATGCCCCTCGGTATCCACATATATTATGTGGCCCAAGCTCCTTCAAAGCCCCGCCAAAAAGTTTCTCGAATATCTTATCGATAGCTCTGATGAGGTACATAGGTACCTAAGGTAAGTACTTTCATATTTCATACAGCTTCCACCTCCAGGCAGCTTTCGGCATTACGACAACTTTGAATAACGTCAAGCCAAGAGCCTTGAATTTACATAGGTTGGTCTTCTCAACACATACCGCAAGGTCAACTAATAGAAAATCAGACCCCTTTTACAATATGTCTTCCGAAGCACAACCCATAAACCCAGCACGCTTCGCCGAAGCATTAAAGGATTTATCCGCTGAGAATCTCGCCCTTAAAGTCTTAGAGCTACGTAATTCGATAGCCCATCTAGACTACTCCAACGCTGAACTGAAGCCCTATGCCGATGAGCAAGCGCCGACTCTAGATCAGCAGGGCGGTACTACGCAGCCAGACCAGGACTGTATCGACGCCATCGCAGAAAATGAGGCTGTTATCGCGCGCATGCAAGAGCGCATCGAGTTGATACGTATCGAAGTCGAGAGCCGCGGACTTAGCTGGCGCGAACTCCAAGGAAATATCGACGATGAGGATGCTACTCCTGCCGCAACCGCCAATGCCAACGCAGAGACCGGCAACTTGACAAACGGAGTAAATGGTCATGGAGCAAACGGAGAAACCCAACATCCGGCATGGCGAGATGGCACGTTCCAAACGGGAACGCTAAGTCAACTCGGAGATGAAGAGCGGGAACTTTTACGGCAGCTCCAAAGTCGAATACCGCCTGAAGATGACGAGGACCCCGAAGGTGGCATACACCTATAAGCTAGTCTCGTGATGTATTTTTGACGTACTAAGACCCGGGGGGGGGGCAAATTATATCACCGTCGGCTTCAGAGCATTGATAGAAGAAAACATCGGCACTCCTTTATATAAGGAACCAGTTGTACCCTATACGGCGGGGTTGAGCTGGAGAGTCTTGGAAGTGATCTACTCCGAATCTACGGGGCGAATAATCTCACGTAGGGATGGTATGTGCAGTACATTTACTGATACTTGGTCGCACCACTGACCACCATACAGAGCGTTGAAGGTTCCTTAAGACCCTCCAAGTCTGTAGAATACCAGATTATAGCCATACGATGAGGTAGACTTCAAGTCGTCATCAGTTGAATTAGCCAGTAAAACAGATATCGTTGCGGTTATTAGACCTTATAAATTACTTGACGTAAGAAAGGAGCGTATCGTAAGGAACCGAAACTTCCTCGATTTCCCTTTCATTACTCCTCAAGTTTATTTTGCCAGTATCGCCCAAATCACCTACCGGTTTTACAATTTGCCTCTTCGCGCGAAGCACTAGGAGAGAAACATAAGTCGCGTTTAAATCCGCCCAGAAACCATTACCAATCTTCATGTGGCCGCTATATAGTAACTATAGCTTAAGAACTAGCTACACAATGACTGCCCTTACGCCCTTGCTCTCGGCCCTAGTCATAGGTATAACTATATCATAATCATACCGAATATCCTCCTCGGTAGTTTCGAACAGGCGCATGTGCGGAAACACGCGCAACACCAGCGCAGCAAGACCGAGGTGCAGCTCGCAGAGCGCAAGACTACATGTTGAAACGTTTCGTTAGTAGCACTACACCGAAGCAGACTCCAGACGTCGGGGTTCACATACTTCATACCAAGACACATCCTGCTGCCCTTCCCGAAAGAGAAGTTATGCTGCTCAATCTCCCTCCTCTTTTCCAGATTGTCATCAAGCCACCGCTCGGGTGCGAATTCGTATGAGTTCGGGAAGAGGGTCTCGTCGTGGTGTAATAAGGTTGTTGACATGCCGATGGCGTAGCCCCAGGGGATGATATACGCAAGCGGTACGCTCTTCTTGCTGCCCTCTAGTTTCCATTCCCCGCGGTACACTAGGTCCTCCTCTGTTGCCACGCGGGCGGTGCGGGCGGACGCGCCGTACGACAGTCGCAAGCCCTCCTGGATCACCGCGCCGAGGTACGGCAGTTTCTCCAGCGTCGTCCAAGGGGGCAGATTCTGCGGATCGGATACGGCCCCGCGTAGCTCGTCGGTTAACTTGTTCAAGAGCTTCGATTTCGTTAGGAGGTGGTATGTGATGACGCTAAGGGTCCAGCTTGCGGTCCCGGTGCCGCCACCCATCATGGCAGCGGCCTCATTTACGAGCCGGGTTATGGTCTTTTCTTGCTCCGGTAGGTCTGACTTGAGTAATTCGGCAAAGACGGTCGGGCGCTCACGCTTGATGCCCGCTTCCATGCTGAGCTTGGCTTTCTTAACCATATTGGGTAAGATGGTCTATATTTGTCAGTTCGAGCCTATGACTCGGTAATATTCTTACCACGCACATTTAGCGTCCGGATCATCAACGCAGTGTCTTGAGGTAGGTAATTCGAGAACCTGAATTTTGTTAGTGGCTAAGATATAGTATGGGACCTCTAAGATGTAGTCGCCTACCATGGACTTGCTTCTGCGATGTGGTTCAGGAAGGGGAAGAAGCGGAAGAGGTGAACCGTGTTTAGGATCGAGATCTGCGACCGGAGGTAATTGGGTTCCCATGATTCTTGGTCGAGATACTCCAGGCTTTCGCCAAAACTGTAGTCTGAGATTACATCCGCGGTGAAGCAGCTATAAGCCACTACAACAACGAAAATCAATAATTACTTCTCCATAAGAAAACCGGTGGTCTAGATATGTCTGGGATTGGGAACTCCTTAGTCGTTGCTATAAGGAAATACTAGTTCTGGAGACGGGATAAAAGGGGGAGATAAGAAATTCTCTATGCTACATACTCGCAAGGTTGAAGGGACCTGCCTGTGCCAGCATCTTATCGCAGAGACGCTGGGCCAGACGCTGGATCAGCGGCTCGAGCTGCGTGATCTGAGCCCTGGAGAAGAATTTTGCTGCTGGGGTACGGCGTATGCGGTGCACATCGTGGTTGATGGTTCCAAAAGTAGAGGTACCCATACTAAGCTCCTATAAGTTTCAACCCCCCCTAACAAGTTATGCGAAGGTCTTACGCTGAGCCGTTTATCTGGTGTGACGACCTGTCACGCTTCCTACTACCTGCTGCATAGATCTCGTCTATAAACCGGAAGTCGTTACAGTGAACCTCGTCGGGGTTAATACGAACTAGGGGGCCTTCGTGATAATGTTAGTTTGACGTGCACAAGCACGTATCATGTCCTCAATAGCGCGTGGGAATATCAGTACCATATATTTCGTGCATCCTCTTTATTTCATGTGTATATCGCCCGAACTTTACTACATCGTGGTAGAATTCAGGAAGATATGTTGCGGCTGCTAGTCTCGGGCCAGGAATGCGGCTGAGAGGGTGGAAAGGGGAGATATTCCACAAAGCACAAGCGAGCTGGTAAGCTATCCAACCAAAAACAAGAACGAGCATATAGTAGGCTGCCATAATCCCGAATCCGCTTTCACGGAACGGTAGAGTGGAGAGCAAAATATCCCGGAGGGCCATGGTATAAAATTTGAGCGTAGCAGTAATAGATTCTCATGCTAAACGATAGATTATACTCTAGTAAATAAGTCCCTGATCAAGCTGACTTTCTCGAGAAATACCCCTCTTTTATGATGCCCGCCGTCAGCTTTATGAATCCGGGTTGCCGGTTTGAGGGGGGCGGGATAGAGTCATAGACTCCTTATTCGTCTTCGATAGCTTTTTGTGTAACATGGGGATCATTTCCGTTTTACCAGAGGTATGCCGTAGCCATAGTGATGTAACTTGGAGGTATGCCGCCGTCTATGCCTCTTGAGAGCTTCTGCATGCTGGTGTGTAGATACATAGATGGAGGGCACACCGATGGCATTTTAAAAGAATCTTATTAAATCCTACTTAGACCCCCATGTTATACCCATGTTAGATTACATATTTATGACCTGCTTGTATGAGTAGTTTATCGTATATAGCTCGGTAGTCTTCTGCCTCGAAATGTATAGGTAGACTTATGAATTGAGGACTTACACGCTTATCGATAGATGGCTGAATTTCGGGATAATAAAGAACAAGAGCTACGACAGCTGCATGTGCAAGTGCATCTCCTATAATGCTTAGGTACTGTCTTGATAGGTATACACAAGTATTATCTTGGTCCGGTATGTTCAAATTTATTGTCAATTTATGTGAATTGAGTGGCGGAGTTAGGAGGTGCTTGCATAAGTTAAGTTTGTCGACTACCTAGGTTAGTTAACTAGCAGTACTAAAAAGCCCAAGAGCCGCATTGAACTTGGTCGGCCCCATCCATTACTGGATTGTTCCACCTAGCGCTGCTGCTCGGCATGCTATGGTTATATACTATTCAATCAAATCCTAACATCAACCAATGGTCGCAGCAACTACGAGATTCTAAAAAGCACCTTGGCGCAGTGGAAGCGCGCCGGGCTCATAACCCGGAGGTCCTCCGATCGAAACGGAGAGGTGCTATTTCGTTCTTTCCATATTTTTGCATCTTTTACACTTTTTTCCAAACATGGACAGTTCTTTCCATCTGTCATTTTATTTTTAAAGTTTCTTCTCGTACTACTTTTTAAGTCATTCATCTGGACTCGTATATTTTACAACTAAATTTCCGTCTTTTGCCAGGAGGGAATTTTTCATTTCCCTAGAAATTCACGCACCTATCTAATACGAGTTAAACTCTTGGACAAGTGGCGTCATGTGGCTGTGCTAAGACAAAACACAACGCGAAAGTGATAGGATTAACCTACTTTTCTTTATCATTCCTTTGGATTATTGCCTCGATTCTTGACAGGTTCTTCTCCTCGGCATCCTCTGGATGAAATTGCCTTGGACATTGAGAACATGTGTGGCATCCATGGTGTAGTCTCCACGACTGCTATACCAGACATTTCACAAGAGTTGAAGAAGCTCTTGTCAAATCGTGGACCCGACCACTTCGGCCAGGTCTCTCGCGAGCTTCCCTTTGAAAATGGGAATTCGCTAATCCATCTCAATCTCACCTCTACTGTGCTAGCCTTACGGGGAGACCATATTGCAAAACAGCCGTTGGAATCGCCTGCAACCGGGTCTGTCCTGTGCTGGAATGGAGAGGCTTGGAGGATTGAGGGTCAGCCCATCAGTAGTAAAAATGATGGCGAACTTATCTTAGCCAAGCTTGACGCCGCCGATGCACCTTCGGCTGAGGCTAGAGAGTCGCATATTCTAAGCGTTCTGCGCAGCATTGATGGTCCGTTTGCCTTTTTATTTTATGATACTCAGGATAAGCGCCTTTACTTCGGTCGAGATCGTCTTGGCCGACGATCACTCCTATTTAGCCAAGCCGAGGATGGTGACTCGATTTCTTTCTCGAGTATCGCGGATGTGCCTACTACCGGCTGGAAGGAGGTCAATGCGGATGGGATATATTCCTTGAACCTCGCTACACGTCTTGCGACACCTAGTGGAATGAAGCTTGACACTCATCTCACCAGGTACGACTGGGTGACATCAGGAGGGGATAACATGGTAAGTGTTAATCTGGAATCTGAAACTACGTGTGCGATCTTTGCTATAAAATTTTCATGACAGGTTTCAAGCATTAGCAATTTTAACATGACGCTGCCGCCACCCGATCACAAGCTGGACTTCAGTTCCTTCTCGGTCGATCTTCTTAGATACTGGCTATGCGAATCTCTCAAGCTGCGGGTTTTAGACATTCCAGAGCCACCAAACCCGTTATCTGACACCGACGTTCGCGTAGCGGTTCTTTTCTCTGGCGGACTCGATAGTACCATCCTCGCGAGGCTTACTCACGACTTAATCCCTCCCGATCAGGGAATAGATCTAATCAACGTTGCTTTCGAAAACCCGCGCCAAGTCTCCGTAGATAAAACACTCCCTCATCTGGATGCAAGAGACATATATGAGGCATGCCCGGATAGGAAGACTGGCCGCAAAGCGTTTGCCGAACTGAAAACCACCTGCCCTACACGCTACTGGCGTTTCATTGCGGTTCGTTTTTTTGGCTCACTTTGCTCAAGGTTAGGTTTAAGCTAACCTCCTCAATAGGTGAACGTTTCATTTGAAGAAGCAATGAGTCACAAGGCAAGAGTCGTTTCTCTCATATATCCGCATAGCACCGAGATGGACTTATCCATTGCCCTCGCACTTTATTTTTCTGCACGAGGTATAGGCTACGTCTATACAGATAAGTGCGAGTGGCAGCCAAATCCGCCAAGCGTTACCTCGCCCGCTAGAGTCTTACTTTCTGGTCTTGGCGCAGATGAACTCTTCGGTGGTTATTCACGGCACGAGATAGCGTTCAAGGCTGGTGGATACCCCCGCCTTCTTGATGAGTTAAAGCTAGACATAGGTCGTATCGGACAGAGAAATCTAGGCCGCGACGACCGGGCCATGGCCCACTGGGGTAAGGAGATTCGCCATCCTTTCTTAGATGAGGAACTTGTCAGGTTTGCTATCAGCACCCCGGTGTGGGAGAAATGTGACTTTCAGAACCAGTTTCATCCAGCCGTTATTGACCCTGCCAAACGAGTATTGAGGCTCATGGCCGATAAGCTCGGCCTATCCGTAATTTCCAGGGAAAAGAAAAGAGCGGTACGATAACATCCAAGGAGACAGCGTGAAAACATGCTAATGACATAGTAGATTCAATTCGGCTCAAGGACAGCAAAGATCGAAAGCCGTACCGGCAAGCGCCGGGGCACCGCAGCGATTACTGAACTTGTATAGCCCTGTCGCTCATTGACATAAGAAGCGAGTAGAGTTAGATGCTCTGGTGATGATGATTATATCAGATACTTCCGAGTTGGGTTCCAGTTCAAATCTCATCATGCGTGTTTCTGCATTGACAGTAACCCTCTTGGGATTTGGAATATTGGCCTATCACCGACAATGACGTCTTAAAGGCATGTCTGAGCCAGAGCTTTCTCTATTTGATATCTTACTAAGGAATTAGATAACAGGCAGGAATAATCGCGATACGGGCATACGTATTTCGTTGCGTAGTGGGCTTGTCCTAGATAGCGTTTAACTATACCTAATATATATATAAACCCCTTAACTAAGACTTATATTATTATAATAGTGTTAATTTCGGAGGCAGGTCAATTGGATGCTCTCTAAGGATAGGTATAGGTACCTATTGTTATCGGCGACTTTTAACCAAGGCACTAACAAGTCATTTTGGACATTCAACTACAGGATAAGAATACATTAACTATCAATACTCAAAACAAGTAATTCTTTTTTTGATAAATCAACTCTAACCTAGTAGACTCTGTAAGAAACTTCTCTAAGTCTGAATACAATCATATGAGGAATCTGTTAAGTCTATGGGTAAACATTAATTAATATCTGAGGGCTATAGAGGGTCATCCATTCATATCTTCCCGGGCGAAGCCGATCACGTCCCCTCCCAAAATTCATCATATTTTTATAAGCGATAGAAATTAGCCGTTGATATTACCTGCTCTTGTAACACCACTTGAAGCCCCATAGCTCAGCTACTATATGGCCCTAAAAGCAAAGGACTTGAGTCCATATCGATGAACAGATGAATACAGTAGCAAAAATCGCTCATACAGATACCTTCAGCAGCTACGAGGGTCCCGAGCACAATTACCACTAGGTCTGAGGGTTCTACATTCTGACCCGAAGGAGGTATCGCAAGCGGACTTGGGAGACATCGTAGCAAATATACTCATTGTAGAGAAGATCGGCGCCAGGAACGCCGGTGGCACCAGGCTTCACGCTAGTATCGGGCTAGAGAGAGAGGTTAGTCAGTATCAAAACAAATAAAGCTTCAAGATCAGGATTAGATTATCCCTACCATTTTCACTCCTTTTAATGATGGATGAATGCATCCGGCATCTTTCCATTGACTCGGGCCTGTGCACCCCTGACCCCAAGTTGATAACATTCCCTTCGACTTAGCATCTTCGGCAGCGCTATATGAGGCGTCGGTGAGTGTCAGCATTGGGTCACCGAGTTCTGCTTCGCAAAGAAGCAGCAGCGCATGCCCGTTGCTATTCGATGGGTAGCAGTAGTTGGCAGACTGTGAGAGGTCAATGTTGAGCTTCACAAACTAGAGCCAGAATACTCACCTTGCTGGACATATCCGCCAAGTAGATACCCTTTCCGAACACTGCCATGCGTTAACATCATATATATAGTCAAAGATATTATCACTGGCAATATAATTTGTCTAGTATATAGAGGAAAATATGATAACATACTGCGAATACGTTAGCTTCATTAGAATTAACATTGAGATAAGCAAAGCGAGCCCAAGGAAGGAAATGAGATCTCGGTGTGCAATATAGTAATACATGCCTGTAACCTGTAGCCGGAGCCTCGGGAGGAGCGATACGTAATCCCTGTGAGAGGATACCACCAAAATTGGTACAGCGAGAGCCGTGCCACAAAAGTCGTCTGTCTTGGTACGCGTCGTGTACGGCTTCTAAACGATCTTTTTCGCCGCTGCGCTCGACTCTGAAAATTTGCGATACCTGGTAGTTAGCGTTGTGAGTTGCTCCTCGTGTATCCATCAAATAGTCCACCAACTGGGTGAACTCTGGGCTCAGTTGGTCAAGTGGAGTCATCTCATCCATTCCTAAGCTCTGGAACTGTTGATCAAGCTTATTAATCTCTTCTTTCTGCTCATTCTTCATGAGTATCGATGCCTCCTTCATATCCGATAAGCTCTCGAGAAGTTCTATTTCTCTTTTGAGTAGTGTCGTATCTCGAATGACGGGAGGCTTATTCCTCCCAAACGCATGTGGAATCAAAGTGAAGTACAAATTCGAAAGTTGCTCTGTTGCCGAAAGGTAGTTAGTCTGATGCTGAGAAATTGCCAATGCTGGATTATGTATGATGGCCGAGAGATCTTTCAAAGCTTGAAAACCTCGAGAAATTGTGGTTTTGCTGAGTTTTCCTAGAGGCAGCTTCGCAGCATCGTAATTAAGGTAGCGCATGGTCGCTGCGAAGTACTGCTGATTGAAAATGAGCTGCATCAACTCCTGAACTGGCTTAGATAGTTTCGAGTCGGGCTCCTCGTCATCCTCGATTTTAATAGTACCACCATTCGTGTCTTTCGTATCATCTTCATCTTCTGATTCATACTAAAGGACTTCGAGTTAGCAATTGCTTTTGCAAAGGGAGCTTTCTAAAGAAACACGTTAAGGATATGTAGGGTAAAATATCTCTAGATTCGGAATTCGTCGCCAGCCTGATCATACTTGGTTGATCCAAAACAAGAAGCGAGACAGATAGATAATAAGTAGCATTGAAAAATACTGACGCTTTTCTCGATGAAAGCATATTTTTTAGATTTCGGAGACTCCCCGCGGTCAACCCATGAAAGACCAGTCTTCGACTTAAATTTATTGTTGAATTCATGAAGAGCACTCTCAAGTGTTCCATTACCGACGGCTTTGGATTGGCCATGTTCGCCTACTCGGCCCCAACGGGTCCAGCATATGAATTGACCCTTGACAGAACGAAGCAACTAGAGAAAACCATCAGTACATAGCCCAACGTTTTCAAATATACGAGATGGGGATTTCACCTGAAGACGGTAGAATTTATTGTTGTTGGCTGTCGAGTTGGTCTGGTTGAGCGAGGCATCAAAGATGACACCGTCGTCGTCAATATAGACCTCATAATTTTGGTACTGGCTGTCAGCGCCCTCGTCAAGCGGGATTCTGGCGTCTCGAGATTTAGCAATCTGAGCATCAGCAACAATGACCTTCTTTTCCTCAGCCTCGACGGCTTTGTCTTCTTGGCTCTGTGCTTCGGTTTTCGAAGTCCTGGCCTTCTTTTTAGCTTGAGGTTTTACCTCCTGCTTATCGTTATCTTCTTCTTCTTCTTCAAGTGCAAGTTTCTGTGTCGCGGACCGCTTTCTAGTGCCACGGGTCTGTATAGGCTGAGATTGCGACTGAGATTGCGACTGAGATTGAGGCTGGGGTGGTAATTGTGGTTGAGAGGAACCAATGCCATATGAACTCTCAGTCATACGAGCTGTTTGGTTAAGGGAGTCTTCAAGCCATTGGAAGGTGACGACGGGTACGCCAAGAGACTGCGCAGCCTTAACCTTGATAGAAGGCTTGTTGTAGTCTGACTCGGTACTGATAAGGTGTGTAGTGGTTGCCGTCACAGACTTGGCTAAAGACGCACCAAGAACATTGATAAAGTCTCGCTCGATGGCGGCTTGAGTGTGGCCGGGTATTGTACCACTAATAGCTATAATGCAACCCTCCAATGGTGGCGGGGGCGGCGGTTTAGCTGCTGCGGCCTTCTTTCTAGGTGGCATTGTTTAGCCCTTATAGGGGTTATGCTTCTATTCTCGTTGGCGAAACACTAGATGCGATAATTTAATTGAATTCGACGAAATGATTTATATTGAATTGAATCGATTGAATTGACGAGGTAAGAATGAGAAGATGTGAATTTTGAGAATAGTAAGAGAGTTTATGAGAGAGAATTGGAAAGGAAATTGGGAGCAATTGAGGTTGAATAAATATTGACAATGAGCGCGCTCTGTGGCACTTTCTCTCTAGGCAACCGACGCCGAGCAAGGAAAGATGAATGCTAATTGATGCCACAATAGCGCGTCTTAACGTGACTTCCCAAGGCAGCAGCGCCGTTGGTTTCTAACTTTGAGCTTCCATGCGTCAAGAGCGGAGCTTGGACTGTGGCACAGCTGAAGACCTGGTATCTATTAGAGGCAGCTATCTTAGTAAGTACCTAACCTAGGTATTACATACATGTAAATGGTATAGATGTTTTTCTGATGAGAGCATCATGTCTCTTGTCAATGACCTAGGTTACTTACAAGTATTTTTTGAGAAATGCTTTGATTCTATAGAAATGTTTAATTGTCGATCATTTTTATTCTAATTTGATGAATCGTTGCTCTACATTAGAATTCTACATGTATCAATGGGGGCAATTAGTTCGCTTAGCTGCATACGAAATTGGAGATGAAGACGGAGTCTGCGAAGTACATGTCCATACATATTCAAGGTGGCTGGCTGGTCGATAATGGATAATCGACATTTGACATTTGATGACATTTGACATTTGATGACATTTGACATTTGATGTTGGTAGCCTAAATGACCGAAATTAAAGAAGGTATGCCTTCGAAATGAATGAACTTGGACCGACTTAATATACTAATTAAATGTCTAGTTATTATTAATCAAGTATCCCTTTTACACAACTTACAATTATTCGACTCGATAGGTATATGTCAAGTCAAGTTAACCGTCAACGTTATTTAATGCATTAACTGCGCAAATTAGATTCCCCTCTAGAATAATAAATCCTGAGAGTTGTCATTCCATATGTAAAGTGAACGTAGATACTAATCAGGAAATATGAGTGTTTGACTTTTAATAATTAGTTATTGAATCTTAAACTGACCTCTGAGTAGGCTTCTGTTTACGCGATACGCTACACCATAAAGCATCGTTGCCTTGAAAAGCTAGACGGCGATCGTTTCGTTTCCTTTCTAGCTAAGCTCGATCTTGGCATGCAAACAATCCGAGAAGAAAGCTGTCCAGCAAAAGCGATGGTTAGCAAATCAGCAAATTTACCGTTTGCACGGGAAAACGTAGCCCCCTGGGGAACCGATACCGGGTCCCGGAAGAAGGGCGGCGAGGGCCTGCAGCACGCCGTTCTTCTCAAACTGGGGGATTGCTCTAATGATACCCAGTGTTGATTGGTCGAGTGAGGGGACTTACTATGATCCCCAAGTTATGGTATTGCTTGTTTCGGAAAAGCCGTCCCGAGTTGTCTGTCTAATTTTCACGGAATCTGCAGTCCTGATGGCATTGCATCTCACCCGCCCGCGATGGCGGAACACCTGCAGACGTATATGAACACAACCCGGCCCGGGGCTAGTCCTACTGATTCCATCCGTGGGATTTCAGCCGGATTGCTGCGAAGACTGCTATTATTGCCTCCGCAAAAATGGCAAAGGACTTGGAGATTGGCCAGAACCCTATGGCGGAGGTTGAGAACACCGAAGAAAAAGAGAAAGGACGGCGGAATTTCGATATTATCGAGATGGAAGACTCACCACCACCGGCACGCCAGCCTGTAGAAAGCGGACCCGAGGAAGATGACGGCACGACTAAACCGGGCTTACCATTTTCTAAGGCGAGGTGTATTGCATTGGTCGCAACGGTCACCGGCGCTAGCTTCTTGAACGTAGGCAGCATCGCCATTAAACCCTGTGATGTATTCTAGCTAATTAAGTCCAGACTCTCTCGATCCAGTCCGTTGTCATTATCCTACCAACAATCGGCGAGGATTTAAACATTCCCGAAAGCAGATTGCAATGGATTGTGTCCTCCTATGCGCTCACATTCGGATGTTTCTTGCTCCTGTGGGGTCGCATAGCGGACATCTACGGCAAACGCTCCATTTTCATCTTAGGGAGTGCCTTCGTAGCAGTGACGATGATCATCAATCCATTCATACCAAACGAAATAGGATTTAACTTGTTTCGAGGCTTACAGGGACTTGTGAGTATATGGAATCATATCCAGAGTAGTCCAACATAGCTTATGAATCCTTAGGGTGCCGCCGCCAATGTTCCTACAGCTATTGGGATTCTAGGTGTGACTTTTCCACCTGGTAAGGCGAAGAATTATGCTTTTAGCGCATACGGTATGTCATCTCTAATTCAAACAATACTATGAATATATTGTTAATATCAAATATCATGCTTAGCTGCTGGCGCACCCCTTGGCAGCGTCTTTGGAAACCTGATTAGTGGCTTCATCGCCGCGTTTGCTAATTGGAAATGGGTATTCGGGGCCACCGGTGGACTCGCAATTGCTGTCACGCTTGCGGGCATATTATTCATACCTCCGCCGCCGCAACATCTAACGACTAAGAAATCCAACTTTGCATCGCTGAAGTCTGTAGATTGGATAGGTGGCGCACTCGTCACCGTTTCGATCTTGGCATTGCTGTTTGCCTTAACGGAGGGCAATATCGTTGGCTGGGATACTATCTGGATCTACATGCTAATTGTTATTTCCGTGTTGCTTCTTGGTATCTTCGTCGCATGGCAGTGGTATCAAGAAAAGCATATGACAAGTAAGCCACTCATGAAGGTGTCTATGTTCAAGAATGCTCGATTCAGCGCCGCCATGGTGATCATGGCTTTATTCTTCGCTGCCTTCAACGATCTCGTCATCTCCGCCACGTTCATCTTCCAGGACTACCAGGCCCTTGGTGCATTGCAAACAACTTATCGATTTATCCCAACCGGCGCCTCTGGGATCATCACCGCATTCGTCGTGAGCCACCTCATTTCACGAGTACCTACTTGGATGTTACTCCTTTTCGGTAATCTAAGTGTGTCTGTATCCTGCTTATTATTTTCAACACCTATTCCACCTGACACATCTTACTTTGCATACGGGTTTCCGGCTTTTGTCCTCTCAGTAATTGGTGCGGATATTACTTGGCCGACCCTGACTTTGTTTACCTCAAAATCCTTGCCACAAGACGACCAGGCGTTGGGAGGTGCACTTATCAATTCGATGGGCCAAATCGGAAGAGCTATTGGATTAGCCATCACTACGGCTATTCAAACAGCCGTTATGGCAAGGGACAGGGGAGTTCCAGTTGAAGCCTCAGGCAAGATCTTGCCCTGGGAACCCGCATCTTTAGCCGGGCTAAGAGCTGGTATTTGGTTCAACTTCGCACTCGCACTATGCTGCGCAGTTGTTGTCACTGTGTATTTCCGCGGCACTGGCATTGTTGGCAAGATCGAGAAGAAACCACAACAACCAGTGAGGATGCTCCGACAAGAAGATACAATAGATCAAGACGCTACCCGCAGATAGATTCCGCATATTATGGCTATTTTCAATTTATCACTACTTTAACTAGTGGTAGAATAAATCAGTCTCAATTGAGTGTCCATAAATTTAGAAGTTGAGTCTATTAGTACTTGTCTATTTATTTGTACAATGAGGTGCTGGATTGAAGCTATGCCTTACCCAACAGTTCGGGGGCATTTACTTACAAATCTTGCAGTTTATCTAGGTCCTTACGACGTGTATCTAGTAATACATAGCATGCATATGCGACTGTTATTCCTTTTCCGCTGGCCATAGCAGCCATGACACAACGACCAGCAGCTTCAAAGCCGCAGCAATCCACAGTACACCGGCAGTACCAACTGTGCTCCTAGCCAGTAGCCCACCAAGCACAGCACCGATGAGAAGTAAAACAGGGGCACCGACTCTACGGTTACGCTCAGGATTATGCGGCGCGAGCAGCGCGGCATCGGAAAATAAGTCGCAGTAAATGCTAGTCAGGACAACGCTGGTAAGCGCGTTGTACTTGAGCGCACGACTTGCAACCGCCTGACCACAGCTTTGAAAAGCGATCAGGGCAATTGGGACAAGCACTGGCCAGTCGATGGCCTCCTTTTTGGCCTCGCTGTCGGACTGGGGCCCGAAAGTAAGAATTGCCGCAGCAACGGCGACAAACAACATCTGAATAATGAAGGACGCTGCGAGCACCCAACGCCGCTTAGGCGACGGCGATAGCATCCGGTGGAAAGAGCTGAAGAATACGGACCCGATGCAGAAACAGCCGAGTGAAGTCCCCGACTTGATCCACCGCGTCGACTCGTGCGGTGCGGTAATGCCGAGGCCAAAATACACCGTGTTTCCTAGGTAGATACTCTTTTAGCAAGACCTGGTAGTAGTGCTCATGGTATTAAGTGACAAACCTGTCTGCATCGACACGAACGAGCCCCAAGTGGATATCGATGCGCTATCAAGCATGCCAGTAATGACATAGCAAGCAAGCAGAACTAAATCGGCCCAGTCGCGGCGAACGTCTGTCGTTAAGCTCTTTCGCCATCTTGCTGATTTGGACGTCACATAGCTGCTATCAAGCAGAGGCTGCTGCTCCTCATCACCATTTCCATTTATCCTCGAGTTCGTAGGCAGTGTGTTATTACCATTGGTAGCCATCTGGGAGTCGATCCGGATATATATAACAGAACACAATCTAAGTATGTGTTTTATGAGATACAATTTCTCTTAACAACCTAGGGACGTGCGTCAAATAAATAATAAAATTTGCCAAGTGAAATATTCGAGGCGTCTGCTGCCTCCAAGATAGGAATGAGGGTTGCCGCGTCCCCGTCCCGGGCTGTGTGCATCTAATGTCCGCGTGACACCAGTTGACCTATTTTAGGGAGAATCCCTAACTTCATAGAAAACGCCCAAGTTAACTATTACCTCCCATCCTTTACATAGTACTATTTGCCAAGGCTGATACTCAACGGCTTAACGGTTATTTGACAGTTTGACAGGGGCAAGTCGAGGACGATGTCGGGCTATAAATCCCAGATAGGCAGGAATGTATAAAGCAACACTAGGCGTTCGGGGTGGTCTCACTGCCCAGGTACCTACCAGATATGTAACTGCAATCAGTCATGTCGTGTGTAAAAACGACCCAAGATCTTGGGCTGTGTAAGCGAGAAGGTGTATATTGTAAGGTTGTAAGGTTATAAGGTTATAAGTTTCGTCAGCAACTTCAGGTACCGGATGATAACAAACTTAACCGCTTTTTGACTTGGCTCGTTCTTTATCGGCTTACGGCACCTACATGTACATACCTACACCCGTTGTACGTACCCACCTCTCTACACCTTAACTCGATATAACACAGGAGGTGCAATACTTCCAATACAGTAGCACAACCAACTTTGGTAGGTCCCACGGACATAATAGTTGATCCCGGAATGCAGGCCCAATCACACCCATCACCCAGCGCTTGCCTTTCAAAGGCCTTATAGGGCATTCTAGAGCCGAGCTGGAATGTGCTGTAGTACATTCGGTATTTGCTCGGGGTTGACTCCCGTTTACAATTGGATGATGGATTTACCAGGTACCTGTTACGTACCTACCTATGTAAGGTAGGTAGCTTAGTGTAAGTGAGACCTTGAAGCTTGAATGGGTAACGAAGCTCTCCCAGAAGATTGCTTGCTTAACTACATTATGACGCCCATCCCATTTACTTTTACTTATACTTTATTTACCCTCTTCTATTCTGCTATCTTCATACCTGACTTCAGCCGGGGTTCAATTGCCTCTTAGCTGATTTCTAGATCTTAGCTTTGTTAACTACCTAATTAACTAAGTTAACGACTTATAAGTCAACCGGCCATTCTTTAAAATGCTGTCCCGAAGCTATTGCGGTGTTTCTACTTGGCAGTTATTAGTCACTGGCCTCGCATTGAGCAATTCCGGCCTTGCTGTTCCCGTAGACGATAGCCCTCGCCAGTACCTCGCAGCTGGTCTTGATCTACCGCCGAAATATAGTAAAAGATCAAAGTCGCCTTATACTCCTGACTACAGGGACCCCTATGATCATGCCGTCGATGCCGTAGGCGAAGGGTTAGATCCGCTCCCCTACCGCAATGGACTAGGAGCGTCTGTTCTTGGTCCCTGGAACCGAGAGAGGTCACGTCAGTCTCCGGATTTAGTGCGACCGCCTAGTACGGATCATGGAAACATACAAAATCTGCGCTGGAGCTTTGCTGATTCCCATGTGCGCATTGAGGTATGAATAAGGTTCCAATATAGCTTTCCCCACGTTCGACCTAACCAAGTTTTATCTAGGAAGGGGGGTGGACAAGACAAACTACCGTCCGCGAGCTGGGCGCTAGTGTCGAACTGGCTGCTGTGAACATGCGCCTCGATAAAGGTGTAATTCGCGAGTTGCACTGGCATAAAGAAGCCGAGTGGGCATTCGTCCTAGATGGCCAAGTTCGTGTCACTGCTATCGACTACGAAGGTGGCAACTTCATAGACGACCTCAAGAGAGGCGACCTGTGGTATTTCCCAAGCGGCGTACCTCATTCCCTTCAAGGACTCGGAGACAACGGCACAGAATTCCTCTTAATATTTGACGACGGAAACTTCTCTGAAGAATCTACCTTTATTATATCTGACTGGTTAGGTGTGTGTTACAGCCCTATCGTATAGATTATTAAAGCTGATATATTACAAGCGCATACTCCCAAGTCGGTGATATCGAAGAATTTCAACCTGGCACCCGAAGTGTTCAAGCACCTCCCCGAAGGAGAGAAATACATTTTCCAGGGCCGTGAGCCAGGTTCAATTAACGATGAGAAACCAACAGGTAAAAATGTCAAGAAATCCAAGTATAACTTCGTTCACAGGATGCTTGACCAGGAACCCCATAAAACTAGTGGGGGTGACGTCCGGATTACAGATTCGAAGAACTTCGAGATTTCAAAAACCGTGGCAGCAGCCCATGTCACTATCGAGCCCGGGGCCATACGTGAGATGCACTGGCATCCCAACGCCGACGAATGGAGCTTCTTTATTAAAGGTCGAGCACGAGTCACGATCTTTGCTGCCGAAGGAACGGCTCGAACCTTCGATTATGTACAGGGCGACGTCGGCATCGTGCCCGCAAACAACGGTCATTTCGTCGAGAACATCGGTGACGAGCCGATCGAGATGCTAGAGGTCTTCCGTGCGGATGAGTTTAGGGACTTCTCCCTCTTCCAGTGGTTGGGCGAGACACCTAAGAAGATGGTTGTCGATCATTTATTCAAGGACGACCCAGAGAACGGTGAAATCTTCTGGAACAGGATCAAGAGCGCAGAAAAGGATGAAGTTACTCTTCCCGGTTCTGATAATGAAGTAACGCCAGAAGTAATGCCAGAAGTAACTCCAGAAGAACGCGAGCTGTAAATTGCCTTTGATGTTTAGTTTCGAAATCTAATAACTAGTTCTACGGTGGTTATCCTGTATTCCAACCCCCCTTTATTATTTCTCAAATATTTATTAGTACTATTTAGCTTGAATATTTAATCATAGTTCCTTATTTTCAATGCATTATACATACCAAAACATATCGACCACTAATAGAGTTGTCGTGAACCAATGTTAGCTTCTACCTATGGAAAAGAAAAGAAAAAGAAGAAAAAAGAGACGTCCATTAAATACTTAGATAACAATGATTGCTAGAGCAAGCATTTGTGCGTCTACACAGAAATCTAATTAACTTAAGCAAGATGTCATTAAGAATGTCTTGTAGTCGACCTAGAATATCGATAATAAATCATGTGCACTTTCTAATTACAACTATAGAAACCTCAAGTCTTCCCTTGTAGAAACTTCCACCCACGATTCACTCTTCTAGGCCATATTTCTTTATAGGTGCCCAGGCCTAGTATTTTATTAATTCCCCTATGTGTAGCGCATTATTGTGAGCTTCCTCATCAATGTGTGTCTACCAGAAAATGGCCAACTCAACATTTGGGGGGTATATTAGTAGGACGAACGCCTCTGACCCTCTTGGGAAACCTATTCAGCTTATTATGCGAGATCCTTGTTCAGTTTATCGTTTCTTTGTCGAAAAAGGGACGTTGTAAAGCCACCGAATACCGAGATGAGGCGATATCCTGCGTGGAATCTATGAAGTTATAGAGAACACCGAGTATGTAGTGACCAAATATAATCGCCGACCATAACACTCACGATGACTAGCCACTCGGAGTAAAAGAATGAAGCCATCGTAACAGAACCTCTAGATAGCCGCCTCGCTTTCTCTTTGAAACTGCCTTCCTACTTAGGATCGCGTTCGGCAGGTCGGCTTTCGCCTGCTCAGAACTCGGAATACACACGGCATTATGCACACAATTTGTAGAACCATGATTATAGTATTGAGGTGACACAACTATCATACAAATCTTTCCAAGCTCGCTGTATAGATGCCTCTTGTAACGTTAGACTGGCGAAATGTCCCATACGGCCGAGAAATGTCCAGCTGGCCATGCCACTAATCCCGAGATGAAGCAAATCCGAGAGCCTCCTTATTTCAAAGATCGAGATTAAGGCTGCGGAAACACGGCTTCAGCTCTAAGAAGGATTAATAGCAATAACCGTTAGAAAGCCTCCGTGCATATAAACATACACTAGGGAAATATGTTATTCGTTTCGTAACAGTCTAAGGGGCCTCGTAACACAACATAAGAAGTATTTATGCACCTGTATATAATTTATTTACACGGTAAGAGTATAGCCTTAATCGCAAACGACTTCATCATCACCAAGAGAAGAATATTATGCCAGGCTATGTTATAGTCTGCTCTCCAAACGAATAAAGCAGCTTCTATTGCTAATAGGTAAGTTGTCTCTTCCGCAGTAGCGTTACGTACCTCTGAGCAGTAACTAAGAAGATATCCAATCGCAACGTTGACCTAGTTCGGGTCCATGAGAATTAAGTTACCTTTGAGTTTTCGCTTCACGTACGTAATTTTCTTAAACAACTTATGAACTCCACGAGGGTAGCATTAAATTGGCAATAACCCCCGAAGGGAGCTTACGAATTCCGGATTCCGTCACCAATAGTAGTAGTACGAACTGTTCAATCATGTCTCGTTCCATTGTTCCCCCCGCGCCACGGCAGCATACTAGTCGATAATATCTACTAGTTAGGAAAGTAACTGCGGTATCCAATAGGGTCGGGTATATAAGTAAGGGTAGTTGTGTCGCAATTGATACTCACCAGCCTATCAGAATACTTGCCGCTCATACCCCGAACTAGGATCGTCGATATTTCACCTTTGCACATGTTTTGTTTCTATTTTAAAGTCTTCACTAGCAAGATCACGCCGCAGGAAGTATGAATAAACAGAATTAGTCTAATTGTGATGAGATTGATAGAGCTCAGTAACGCCTATCACTTGGCATTAAGCATATGCCCACAAGCCACATAACCAAAGTCTTGTCCATGCAATGTGACTGTTACACCCAAAGCTTGGTACTTGAACAAGCTTTCTCTTACCCTTGTAACTTAACCAAGAGGGGAAATTTTTGAATCCATGGCGCTGTTCAACGGTGCTTGGCCGCATCGTCCAACTAAAATCTCCGGCGGTAGAAATATTCCTCGGTTATGCGGCAAAGTATTAAGTGACCTGTTTGTTTCCCACGGACGATCCAAGACTCTAGGCAGTGTGCTTGGGAGGCTCTATGCTTAACTAATACGCAATCGCATTACGAAGCGTAACTATAAGCATGTGAATCCTACGACTTGGCCTACTGTCGCGACCGCGATCCAAGAACTCGGAATGCTTTTGAAACTTATAGGCTGCCAAGAGATCTAATCAAGACTATAGACCACCGTTTTGTATGCGTATAAAGCTGATCGAGACGTACATACTACATATGCGGAATTGAGCCGAGTTATCTTACTACGTTGCTACCACGGTAGATACCCAAAGTGCCTATATGCACGCAGCACAAAGCACAAGTGGCACCGTTAATACAGTAACCAGGTAAAAGATAATCATACCCCAGATCTGCTATTTCTAAATGTCAGCACAAGCAATCGTTAAAGCCTACGGTGAGGTTCCAATAAAGACAAGTCCATTGTCCATTCACATGCTATAATTCCGTTATAATCACAAAACAGCTGCGTGACGGCGGTGCTAACCGCCGGACGAACAATATTTCTTGGCACTGATTGGCTCGCTGAACAACCAAAGACAGGTACCTAGGTTAGATCACAAATCTTCTGTTTCTATTTTAGAAGACATCCTGTTTTATATACATGCCTCATATTCCAACGTCCCACATACTGTCAATTACCCCGCGTCTCTATATCACTTCCCAGACGGCACTGTCACCCAACGTTATGATCGACTATTAACACTGGCATACAGTTACATTTAGTCACGACATGGCGCCTAATCCCGTATCTCAAATTCGTATGTATGGGTCGTTTGCATAGTAGTAAAGATGGGAGACTATTTTGCTTCCCCCTGAAGCCCAGGCCGTACCCTGGGCCTCCGCGTGGTCTATGATGTGTGACTGACGCTGTGCTCTCTCGCACCACCGTTTACATGAGCAGGAAAAGAGGTTGATACTTGAAGAGAGTCCCTATAATACCGATAGAGTGGCGAGAATGTGCCGAAGGGTGGTATGATCGCTACGGAGGTGATATGTTCTTTGAGTCGAGGGCGTTGTTGTCTCCAAGATTGAGTTTCTTCATGGAACCTTCTGTTTACGGAAGCCACCCAGTGAAGTGTGTTGATTGGAACGCAATGTGAGGTAGATACCGGCTTTCTATAGACTTCAGTTTAAAGTCTATATTAATATCTATGTTGAGATCAGCCGCATTGATCTGAAGGCATAATTCATCAGTTCCGGTCTTTTGATTCCCTCTTCTCAATCATGGAGAGACGAGCTACTGCTGTCAGAAACGCCGTTAAGGAGGAGTTCCGGACGGACGTTACCCTCAACCGGGTGGTGAAGTTCGCCCGCACTGCACCTAAGCACTTCCCATCGGCCGCTAAACAGTACCTTGTCGACAAGCTTCCTATCATCCAGTGGCTGCCACGATACTCCCCGCCATGGCTCCTCCAGGACTTCATGGCCGGTCTCACGGTCGGGGTTCTACTCATTCCTCAAGGCCTAGCATATGCCAAGATCGCAACAATACCAATTGAGAATGGCCTCTACTCTTGTTGGGTTCCTGCTGCCGTGATGGTGTTCATGGGGACATCGAAGGGTGAGATGTTCCCCAACTTAGAACTATGCATAGCAATGTAACTAGTGAAAAAGACACTTACATAGAAGCATAGATCTATCAACGGGACCGACTTCGATCATGGGTCTCCTAACCGCAGAAATCATCCGCGATCTTAAAAACGAGTATTCCAGCACCGACATCTCATCGGCCGTTGCTCTGATGGTAGGTATCTGGTCCCTCCTTATAGGCTTGCTCGGACTCGGGTTTCTCCTCGACTACGTTTCCATTCCCGTCCTTACCGGATTCATATCCGCAACAGCCTTCGTCATCGGCATGGGCCAAGTCGGCTCCCTAGTCGGGCTTAGCAACCTACCAGACGGTGCTTTCAACCAGTTAGGTGACATCCTAAAGCGTCTTCCCCACTGGGACGGTCCAACTTGCGGGATCGGTTTCGGAACCGTCGTTGTCCTGCTAGCTCTCCAGAAAATAGGCAAGAAATGGGGCAACAAGCACTTTGCCATCAGGTACATATCGAGCAGCAGGGCGATCATTGTGGTGATAATTTTCACCCTGATCTCATACCTCGTTAACAAAGATCGTGATGACTACCTCTGGGGTGTTAGCGAAGTTGATACCCATGGAATCCAACATCCGAAAGTCACAAGCGCCGACCTTCTCGCAAAAGTCGCGGCTCGGTCCATCGCTCCCTTAGTCGCGTGTACCCTCGAGCACCAAGCTGTTGGCAAGGCCTTCGGCCGCCGGAACCACTACGCCATCGATCCGACTCAAGAGTTCAATTACCTCGGTGTTACCAACATCATCAATTCATTCTTTGGCGCAATGCCTGTCGGCGGAGCTATATCCAGAACGGCCGTCAACTCGGAGTGTCACGTTAGGAGCCCCCTGAACGGCGTCTTTACTGCAGGTTTCATTATTTTGACTCTATACGCGTTCTCGCCAGCTCTCTACTGGCTACCCAAGCCGACCTTGGCTGCTATCATCGTAAGCCCCCCCCCCTTTAATTTTGCGAACAAGACGGAACTTCCATGTAAAGTGCAAAATGCATTGCTAATATCACCCGTCTTAACAGATCATGGCTGTGATACACCTCTTCGGGCCGCTCTCCCTAATCTGGCGCTACTGGCGCGTCTCTCTCGCCGACTTCATCGCCTGCATGGTCGCCTTCTGGGTGACCATCTTCGTGTCGGCCGAGATCGGCATCGGCGCCGCAGCAGGATGGAGCGTCGTATGGACGCTCCTCCGCTCCGCATTCGTGACGCCGTCGGTCCACGCCAGCAAAACAGCAGACAACTCGGGCACGCTGCAGCCGCTCGCGCGGGTCTCGACGCAGATACCGCAGAACGGGGCGACGGAGAATATCGGGGGCCCGGTCATCCCCGATGACACGGTGGTGGTGCGCTTCGCGGATTCGCTGTTCTTCCCGAACGCGAACCGCAACAAGGTCAACGCGCTCGAGGCTATCCAGCTCGTGTACCCGTCGGTGCAGAGCCCGACTTACCGCGCGGATGCGGAGCGCCTATGGAGCGTAGCGGCTGAGCAGCGGCTGGAGCGTCTTCGCACGGCGCGAGGTGTCGTCGTGCGCCAGATGCCTCTGGCTGTTGTGATTTTGGACTTCGGCATGGTGCCGTTCATTGACGCGACAGGCATCACGGCCTTGGCAGAGCTCAAGGATGACATCCGCCGCCAGCTCAGGTTCGGCGTGCAGATACGGATCGTGGGTATGACGAAGGGTGTGCGCCGTCGCTTCAAACGCGCTAGCTGGAAGCTTGCGGACGCGGATGACCTGCTCGATGGAGATGCTGATATTGTGTATCCTTCTTTAGAGAGGGCAATTTGGGATGAGCGTGACCGGGATAGCTTAAAGGGTATTACGACGGAGAAGGTGTAAATTTATTAGGGGGTTGGGAGTGTGTAATGATTTGTCTTTTATCTTGCTCTTGTGTACTATTTACTATATGGATTCTATATAGGAGAGAATAATTCAAGTCTGAATATTTAATCTTTGTTAAACGAAAGCTTTATTGGGTTTATTAAGTTAGCATCCAGCCTCAACTCAAGTAGGATAAGAGAGGGCGGCCAGGGGTATACGTGATTAGATGAATTTACAATCCTTTGAGCGTTGCTATTAAGATGTTGAACATTAAAATAATAAGTTAACTTGGTAATTATTAAGGAAAGAAATTACATTCTTTGTATTGCTCTTCATGAACCGCTCAATAACAGGAGCCTATGTCTCTCTAGGGGTTAAAGGCGAGAGAAACTTCGTTAACCTAAACATCTGTTCTAATTGATTATGGATATAACTGTTGATGATCTCACTATAAAAAACTTTTAAAAGTATTGACTAGGTATAAGAAGTATTACGAGGAGCTATAGATCGAAGTAGTAGAGGGCTTTATTTGGGTTTGAATTCATGGCAAAGCATTAGCAAAGATGGTAAAGTCAAAAAAGTCATTTTAATAACTTATAGTTGAAATCAAGTTCTGTAACTTTTTGTAGCACGCCTTGGGCATGCATTTCTAAGATCTAATAGTATGTGAGAAATCGGGGTATCAGCTTATGCCGTCTAATTTTAACCATCTACAAATGCTTCGCTCTTGGCCTTCTGCGTACTCTCGTCGGTAGATCCGTCTTTGTTAGTTGAAGGGCGGTTTGCAATCAAGCGCTGAGCTGTGGTTAGTACATCATAAACATCTAGCTTAAGTCATAGATCACATACCACAAGATTTCTAAGCAGCACTGCAATTGTAACTTTACCAACAGAAGGCACGTAAATCGATGCCTTCTCTTTGATAGCGGGCCCATCGAAGTTCCGGAAAGATGAGAAGTTAATGCAGACGGTTCCATCGCGGATGAGCTCCGTCGGCACCTTGTATTTCTCCGCGGGGACACCGCCAATGATGACGTCGCTGATGGGTATGCACTGTTCCAAGGCCCAACCCTCCTTGTCTTGAACCTGGTGTCGTGGCTGCTTGATGCCCTGGCCACGAGTGAAGAGCTGAACTCCTGTTATGTCGACAGAGTACACAGTGGCGCCATCGTTGGCAAGTAGAGCGGCCAACGGCCGGCCGTTGACCTCTGAGCGGTTGATAACCGTGATGGTTCTCCCAAAAAGTCTGTTTCCATAGGGTAGGATAGAGTTGTAGATCTGAAGGTACTCCAAGATCTTAACCACGGCCAGGGGAGTACAGGGCAAGATAGACTTCTTCAAGTTCTGTGGAGGGTCCAGAAACCTCACGTTGTAGTACATGTTGTAAATGTGTTTATGGCAGAGACCTTCAACATCCTTGGAGAGCGAGACGGTTTCCTGAACGTAACGGTCGTGAGCTGGGTTGCCAGGGAAGATGGGATAGTAGACAATAATGCCGTCTACTTTGCTGTCCTCGTTGGCATTCATAATCTCTTCTTCTAGTCTATCCTTGTCTACTTGACGCAGGTCGAAGGTAAAGCCGCTAATTATCAATAAGCATTATGCCCCCAGTGTAAGTGAGCAAAAAAGCCCACTGCATTGAGAGCATGTGATTTCTTACTTCTCTTCACAAGTCTTCTTTGACCATTCAGCATACTTAACAGCTGCCGGGTCATCATTGGCAAGGAAGGCAACTAGGGTGGGTTGACCCTCGTTGTGTTTCTGAATAGACTTCAGTGTGTCCTTGACCTCAGTGAGGAGACCTCTAGCAATGGTCTCTGCTAATATGACCTTGCAGGTCTTTGGTACATCGTGCGTAGCCATGGTTCGGCAGGAAACAGACTAGACTAAATCAGCTGCTATATTCTCCTGAATCTCTATATGGACAGATAAATATTGTATATGAGATATATCACAATAGAAGGGCAGAAATTCTGGGCGTTGTATCATAAATGGGACGAATGGGATGTGATATATATACAATATATAAGTATATAATATATACCTATATAATACAGGGGCGAGTAAATTTCGACATACCTGCCCCACTACAAATGCTTGTAGTGCCCCGCGATCTAAATTGAGGGAGCGTCGCGGCTTGTGATGTAGTTTGTGATGTAGTTTGTGATGTAGCTTGTGATTGTGTAGCTTGTGCAAGTTAATGTAAGCAAAAGGACGCGTAGAAGAAAAGTTAAGCTTATGGTGAAGAAGGTCTTGTGGCAGAGGAATTGCCAATGACAATGGAAAATCGTGGATTGGACGGGTAATTATATACCTCCTAAAAGAAGAATATGGGGAATGAGCGACTAAATGAGGTAGATTAACAGATCTCATCGTCAAAACATCCGGAAGCGCTGTTAACTTTGAAGCGAAGTTTTTTTTTTATCCTTTCGCGGAACCCCACCAAGCTAGTGCTACTCATGTAAAAGTCCCTGAAAAAAATTGATTGCCCCTCTTACTTCTTTAGGTATAGAATTGGCCTTGAATTGGCCCTAAATCGGCAGCTGCACAGGCAATCTAGCCGGATCATCGTGCAGCCGCGGGGCATTTCGTCATTTTGTCATTCAGATTGGGTACCTAGGTACAACCTCAATGTTATTATTGTTATGTACATCCTTAAACCTGAGGGTTACCTAAGACATTAACAAAATACCGAATTGCCTAACCTAGGTTACTTCGATATTCTCTGACAAAGGCAATAGTGCATGATCAATATTTACCGCATTTTCTAATAGGATAACTATTCCAGGGGTATTCATTAAAGAATAAAGAAAAAAACGCACCTAAAGACGCCTGTTCGACTTTGTCGAATAGCGTTGTCTTGTCCCACTACCACTGCGAAATATGGCGGGCGTCAAGTTTGACGATCTCGCTTTGCAGTATGTTCTTACAGATGAGAACGACCAGGAACAGGCAATATCAGAGAAAGCAGCCACAGGTAAGTTTTTCCCGTAACACATTAAATAATTTGACATGCCAACACCATCTTTCAAGGAATTCAAGAGTCCACGAACAACAGAATAGCCGTCGGCCAGTGGGTCGCATCCATAAACCGTTGGATTCAACCGGACGATGATTCCAATGATGATAACTTCATCGCGCGGGCAAAGGCGCTCGATTTTCTAGCCAGCACCCTTGGGGTTCTTAAGAAGAGAGATGTGCTCCTGAAAGCTGATCAAGTCAAGCTCTTGGTGACTTTCTTCGGTTCCCTCTTTTCAAGCGATCACCGAGCTGGTGTTACAGCTTCTGCTAAAGCGTTGAAGCACCTGGCTAGCATGAAGTCATTCCAACCCACTTTAGGAGATGATATAATTACAAACGTCTGTAAATTGGGTGATGATTTCAAACTACAGACACCAGCGACACGCCTAGAGCTCTATGAATTATTTCTTTGGCTGCTCCAGGATCCTGCGGTAGCCAATGATCTTGAATACCGCCATGGAAACACGTGCGGATTTATAACCAGTCTTCTGGACCTGTGCCGGAACGAAAGGGACCCGTTGAACTTAATGAAGTGGTTTGACATTCTAAAAATATTTCTACAGAACTTTTCACCATCGGAAGATATTACGTTAGAGGTCTTTAAGACCTTCTCAGCTTATTTCCCCATTTCTCTGCGGTCATCAGCTACGCCGTCAGGTATTACCGCTGATGATCTGAAGGGCGCTGTGCGATCATGCTTCGCCGCCCATTACCGCGTGGCTAACCACGCGATACCATATCTTATTAACAAGCTCGATCAAGGGGACGCGGTAACCGTTGCCGTAAAGGTCGACATTTTGCAGACCCTTGACGCATGCTTAGTACAATATGAGCATCCCAAGAAAAGTGTTGTTCCATTTGTTGATCAGATATGGAGCTCACTTAAATACGAGGTTCGAAACGGCGAGATCCCGGATACTATTAAGGCAACTCTAAAGGTCATACGATCCCTTACCACGCGGCTTGATGAGGATGAGCTTCGATCGTTCTTAGCAAGCGCTTGGAGGGATCTCGTTGAAGACTTATCCAGTCCAACCTACACGGCTCAGGCTGGTAGACTCCTAGTTGCAATATCTGGGGCTGGTTTCCAGTCTTTTTCGAGTATCACTCCCCAGGCCATATCCCATACTCAATCTACACTTAGACATACCCAATCCGCATCGCATAAACAAGAACTTGTGGCGTTACTCAACTCATTACTCACTATACGATCCCATCTGGTCGATACACTGAAGGACGACCCGAGCGTCGATAGGAACTTGGGCCTACTAAAGGACGAACTATTTGGCGATTCGCTCTTCTCTGAAGTATATGCACCTCTATGGGAAGAAATCTCGGGTTCTCAGGCAGCAGATCAAGTAGGTGTCTTCAAGAAGATCTTAGAAGGACTTGCTGCTCTTGTCGGACAGCGATCTAGTGACGCCGGACCTTCTCATCAGTTATGTTCTCCTTCTACTTGCGAGAAGATCTTTAGTTGGCTCGCAAGCCCATCTATCATCTATCCTTTGGAAGGCAAAAAGTTCAATGAAAACAATAGCGATGCAAACCAAGACATCCGGGATGCTGCTGTTGCAGCGCTGAAGGAGGCTGTACCTCTATACCCCCCCGCATTCCAGCTCCTGCTGCAACAGTACCTCTCCTCACTCAAGGTAGCATACCAGCAGCAACTCGATATATATGAGCTCCCCTTGGAGATTAAACTGGTTGCTGGCACACTATGTGAAGTTGGTTGCTCAGATTCGCCCGGAAGCCATTCGTTAATATCAAACTCCGTCTCTCTAATCAACATCCTACTCGAGGGGTTACTATGGATGTTATCAGAGCAGGCACCAATAAGATATTGGACTGCGCTCATCTGTTCTATTCACTTTTCCATTATACAGTCCTTGGATTCCACGTCAAATCAAACGCTCGACCCCTTACAGCCAAAGCGGCCTGGTATTACAAAGGAATGGTACATGCGATTTACCAAAAATATTGAGAATGCCGGGGCCCCTCGACTTGACTTGAACAAGTCTGGAAACCTCGCAATTAAAGTACTCGAAGGACCGGAGACAGATAGTATCGACGCCCACCAGCAACTATTAGCATATTCTCTGTCCGTTGTGGAGCAATTATACCGTCGTTTCACCACCGTCCAGTACCAAGGTGACGGGAGCAACAGAAACGGACCCCAAATAGGGCTCGGTAAAGATTTCAAGGGGGGACGTGATTCCTATATTGTTGAACAAGATATGTGTCTGCATCAACTTGGTCTTCTAGCCGCGTCAGTTGTTCGGGCTTTAAACGAGGAGGAGCAGAAGGCTCTAGACCTAAGCAAGGATGCATTCATTCTTTTCCATGATGTCGATTCCACTAACGCCACTACTCCGGGACATCCTGCCTCAGAGACTATTGGAGTAAGCCCATTGGACAAATTCCGTACAGCACCTTTATCGATGGGTATCCTCCAGGGTCTCTATCCTGGTGTGATGAGCGCGAAGGTGAGCAAAGAACATTTCGGCTTGCATTGCTAGTAACTGACTGTATTTATAGTGTCATGCCAATGCACTGAAGAATATTTGCACAGTCCTGACCACCCGTCCGTTACTTTGCTCCGGTACAACAAGGGCCGCGTTAGATATTACCTTTACGATACTATCAAACAAGCTCCGTATGGAAGACGAAAACTACAGCAACGAAAAATTGCAAATTCAACAAAACTTGATCGATGCCCTAACAAACACTTTGAATCAGGTTTCGGGATCCATGATATTCGTTGTCCGTAGCATTCTTCATTTCTTAGCCGGCGATGTGGCACGATTCAGGAGCAGTCCTGATACACATAACGCATTACTCAAGATAGTGTGTGAAAAAGCGCCATCAGAACCCACACTAGGTCGCTTGTTAGCGGAGAACTTCGAAGTACTCGTCAGTCCTAAGGAGTGCCTTGAGAAAGAAAACCATGCGATTCGAAAGAGACTAAGCGGCGAGTGGCTATACTTTAAGGTCGTCCAGCCTTATCTGAAGGACTGCTTCCCCAGCTCTGGGGTGGATGAGAACGTTACAGTTAATCGCGCTATAATGGTGTTCTCGATCCTAAAGCACCTAAAGTATGAACAGTACTCCAGCGACATTGAACAGATCGTGCGGATCGGTATCCGGTCTCTATCTACATTTTATGCCGGCCTGGAAATGGAATACTGCCTTAACGTCCTGCTACAAGTACTTGAGAAGGAGCCGAACGCACTTAAAGAGCATATAGCTGGTCTCATCTCGGGTATGATCGTAGTCTACAAGACGGCTCGAGGAGGAAGCGAAACTACGGAGTCGAAAGGGGATCATACGGCGTTCAAGAGCATAGGAAAGGAACGAATCCTGTGCCGGAAGTTCGCGCTGGAATTCTTCCAGAAACTACCGAGCTCGTACGAGTCTCAGTATCTCGTGCCTTACCGTCAGCAACTACTACGTCCTCTGTCGGCGGCTTGTGGAGACTCGATTAGAGAGATTCGTCGAACGGCACTAGCAGCTAGGAAGGCCTGGGAAGCGCTTGCTTAAAGAATTAATGTTGAGCATTTGTTGAGGTCCTCGATGACCGACTGGAATGTTGTCGTACTTGGCTACTATAGTCCAGATAGGGGTTGGCTCTTAAGTGGTACCTAGTTGCTTTTAGCATAGGAGATACATACCAAAGCATATGCGAACTGTCCTCGATAGCTATATTTAAGCACGTTTCAGTAGTTTGGTGATGTTCTCGTTGTAATGGAGTGACATACGAATACATTGTAAACGACACAAAACTATTCACGAGCAAGGCATCGCATCAGAAGATATGGCATTATATTTCAACACATGAACCCATGCATTACTAGATTATTCAACTACGCCTTTCTGCGCTTCGACTTTTTGCTGGCTGACGCCGGCTCAGCTCCAGTAGACGTAGACTGAGAAGCCGCGATGGCATCCAGGACATCCGCATCGGCATTTAGGAAATCAGGTACTGGTGCAGCGGCTTGCACCCGCTTGGGATCGGCCTTGGCGACCAACGGCACAGCCGTGGCGAAGACGGTTTGGAAGGGCCGCGCGATGAAGTGGCCCTGCACGTCGAACCACTCCGTGAACGACCGCGCTAGCTCAATCGTTTCTGGCGCGCCGTTCTTGGGCGTTACGGTGATCTTGACGTTGTAGATTGGGACGTTTTTCTTCGTCGAGGTGGAGATGGAGATCTGTAGTCGTTTGTTTTAATTAGTCGGAGCCCTAAAAACCACTACCGCTGCTGCTACTACTACTATCATCACCACTTCAAGACAGTGAGCAGCACAACGTACCTTGGACCCGTCCGGCGCTACGCCCTGGTACACGGTGCCCTTCTCGACGAAGCCGATCCAGTACGTCAGGATGCCGTTTAGCAGGGCGTAAACGGCGACAGCGGCAGCAGTGTAGTACTTGGTAGGCTCGAAGCCGAGCTTGTAGTCCCAGGCGAAGCAGGCGGCGGCGATGGCGAAGGCGCCGTACCCGAGAGCGAGCCGCGTGTCGATTAGCCGGTGGTCCTGCTTGAACTTGAGCGAGTTGAGGTAGTTGGGGATCGCATCGTCGGATGTGTTTTTTAGGTCTGCGGGGGAGGTGTAAGTGTTAGCAGGGCTGCGTTTGTTAGACGAGAGGACAGCAAAGATATAATACAATACATACCCGCGAGGTTGTGGACGGCAATTCGTTCCTGGGAGGCCATTTTCAAGCCCAATTCTTTATCCTAGTGCCTGAAGAAAAGCTTGTCAAGAATATTCGCACTCGGGTCGTGGCCAGTTGTGACTAGGTATCGAGGTGAAAGGGACGATAGCTTAGGTGGCCTTCTTAGTCGAAATGTCTTGGTTAAGTCGGGTGTTAGCTTGGAGGTACAAAATACTTTGTAGTACATATAATTGAAAGGTACCTAGGTACGGATTAAAATGTACATGTGGATAGGTGGCTTTGGGGGTGGGGCGCTTTAAAGTTCAGCCCTGTACCGAGCTACCTAACCTAGTGTAATGTCAATGGAACTGTATTTAGTATCGCATAGTTAGTTCAGCATATGTAATATTCCGTACATACCTATCATAATCAATGCCGACTTGACCTTCAACCACCATCAAGTGTATTATAGTACTTTGACAGACACCTACTGTTAGACCACGGAATCGAGTTCACACGATGGCTCAATTACCGCCACAGACGATCCATAGGGATCCCCAGCTTTTGTAAGTGTTAGCTGGAGTAATGCTGAAGCTCTTAGAGACTAACTCTGCTTGATAGCTATTGGATCCTGCTCCCGATTACTGCTGTGATGGTAGGTCTATGTGTACGTTCTATACGAGAAGCTCGTGTGTTGATCAAAGAATAGATTCTCACTGGTGTTCTGCGATACTATGCCACCGTCCTTATGCAAACGCCTCCCAAGAAGCTCGACCAAAAGGCCACGAGGGAGCAACGGTCTCTGATGCACGGTATCGCTGTGCGTAGCAATTTCCACGTGTTATCCGCACCATCTTTCCGCGCGAGGAGAGACTACCTCACCAGTGCCTACGAATCCGGTGCTTTCCTGAAGGATCCCGAGCGTCGCGGCCAGCCTCCCCCGAACCCGATGACCGACCCTGGTGCTATGGACGGCATGATGGGTATGATGAAGAATAACATGGCCATGATGATTCCGAACACCCTGATCATGAGCTGGATCAATGCCTTCTTTAGTGGATTTGTTATCATCAAGCTACCTTTCCCTCTTACTATCAAGTTTAAGAGTATGTTACAGGCTGGCGTCGCAACTAAGGAAATGGATCCTAGATGGATGTCGAGTATTAGTTGGTACTTCTTGTGCTACTTTGGTCTGCAATTTGTATTCAACTTCTTGCTCGGAAACGAGAATGGTGAGTTTTTTGGAGTCTTATTAGATTGGGTGTAACGAAACTGACTATATACTAGCTGCCAACCAGATGGCCCAACAGATGTCGGGAATGGGGCCACAAAACGCACAAATGTTTGGGCCTGGTGTTGACCCTGATAAACAGTTCAAGACAGAGGCTGAAAACCTTGCTGTGGTTGAGCATTACTCGGTCTTGGACGGAGTAGAAGATCGATTACTCGAGGGTATCAAGTCTAAATAAGAGGGCTGGGTAGCTAATCAGCCAAACCTATGCAAGTAGTGATTCCCAACCAAACGCCACCATATGCAGTTGTATACAATTAGTTAAAGAAAACACTATGAAATCACTCCCACCACAAACAGACCCCAAGACCTTCTTTCATCATGGTCCCCTTTATGCGGTAAGGAGATATCTTCTTCGCCTTGTCGACTGCTTCCTCCTCGGCACTCTCAGGAGTCTGGTCGTGCCATTCTTCTTCGATCACCTGAAGGCGGACCATCTCGTTCTTGTCGTACCACATCGGATCACCCTCGGGATCATAGATCCATGTCCACGCGTTCTCATGATGGTTGCTATGTAGAGGGTGGTGAGTCCACTTGCAAGGAATATAGAATAGACTGGGTGATACGTACTATTGTGTATTTTCGGGCAACTCCTTATACTCTACAAATATATCTTCAAAGAACTCAGTGCGGACTAGTATCGGTTAGTGGTAGTTTTCTATATACGAAGGTGCGAGAAGTTTGATGGAGAACATACTGTGGATTCCATCTTGACTGGCTTCACTGATCCTCCCAAACATGGTCTCGCCCTTGAAGGGCCTAAAGACAATCATACGAAACTCGACTGTTATCTAAGAGTTAACATTGCTATTTACGGGTCGTTTCGTAAAAAAATAAGTAAAATAAGTAAAAGACGAGATATACCGTTGACATTAACCATGCCACTTCCATGACCGATGAGACCCTCAGACGCCCATAGTAGATCATACATGCAGATGCAAAGTCCGATCTTCTGGATTACCCGGTTCGCATACTTAGCATTGATGCTGTCTTCTATCGCGATATGACTGGGCTTCTCGAAATTGTCTGGCCTGATCTGCACTAGATCGGCAATCTTTGTCTGAGATTTAGTTAGCTAGTTAGCTACAAAGATCCAACACTCGCATAGATTAACTAACTAGAATGAACATCGTTGCGACCGTAGATGTAGTTGTTGTTATGAAAATCTCATCGTACGCTCATTTACACGGTATTATGCACTCCACCATGCAAAGTATAGCAGAAGCAATGGGGCCTTTTCTGAACTGCTTTTGTGTTGTCTAGTGTAAAATGTAGAATGTAAAGCATACCGTGTAATTGCAAAGTCTTGTACTGTACAAGATATAATTTGAGAGCCCGACAGTGCACATGGGCAGAGAGGTAGGTGCGGCTGAGCCATACAGGCCGTGTTATCGTATTATCGATATTCCTGCACCGACTTGATGAGTCAGGATTTTAGGTCTGCGCTAGCGTCGCGCTAAAAAAAAAAAGTATTATCGCGTTTCCATAAAATCCTGCAGGGGTCCAGCTGTACATACAGGCCTTCAAAAATAGAACCCACACAACACAATCATTCATCATCTACAACTCAGAAATCTTCGAACTAACCTCCATCGAAGCACAACTTCTCTCTAATATCTTGATTCTCTCCTCCACGTCTTCAATCGTGAAATTTTCTAATTGATTCTCTTCGCACTCTGTGTTTTCCGTTTTTCATTCTAGTCCACTCAAATCACCCATCTTGAAGTCACCAGGCGGTGTGATTTTACCCCTTGCCTACCTATACAGTGGGCAGTTAGCCTCTGGTATGTTCAACTTCCCCATCTATTTTGTGATATTGTGTTGTAACTATATCTTCTAACATCAAGTCTTCTAGTTATTCCTCAGGCTAACCTTTACTTACCTCTCTTTCTCAACTCTTACAAATTCAAAATGAGCAGCTATCCCTACGCACCCCCTCCGCCAGCTCCCTCAACAGCTTCGCCGGGCCCGTATCCCCCGTACGGTCAAGGACCAGGGTATTCTCATACGCCTCGTGGTGGTCATGCCGCTGCTGCGAGTAGTGGCAGAGGGCATGGCCATCACCAAGGACCCGGCCGTACTGAATACGGCTCGCCTTACTATCAGCAACAAGATTACTCTGCCCCTAGCGGTGGACCGTACAACCCTCCTCAACCGCCTAGTTACTGGCAAGGAACTCCAGCCGCGAGCCACGGTCACCCTAACGGCTCGTCTCTTCCGCCAAACTATCCTCCTAGTTACGCACCTCAGGGATTTCACCCTCAGCCCAGCCAGTCCTACCAACCGCCGTATCCCAACCAGTCCTCTCGTCCTCCATATGGAGCTCCCTACGGTCAAGCGCCTAATGAGTATGCTCAACAACCTGTTCAGCCATGGGGCGATCAAGTTCAATCATTTTCTCACTATTCTAGTCGCGGCGGACGTGGCGGATATCCGAGTGATCGAAGTGGTCCTCTACGCAGTCCTTATCCTCCTGCACATCACCAGCCAGCTCCCCTCCAGCAGCCGTCGTACGGCTACCCCCCAGCCCCTTCCCCATCATATTCCGGCCCACCACAGTCTCATTATGGATCTAACAACAGAGGACATGGTCGTGGTGGTCATGCTCACTCGAACAGAGGAGCTATGAATAGTGACCGTGGCGAGAAGTTTCGCCCTCGTGACCAGAAGCCGCACCAGCCGTTCAACAATTATCAGAAGTCTGATCCTGCTGGCGCCAAGAAGAAGAAGCGCAAGACAAATACACTGGGACTAACCCCGGGAGACGAGGATTCGGACGATGGTGTGGATGAGGAGAAGCGCCTAGAAGAGCTACTCGGCACAGATGCCCCAGGGTAGGTTCTAATTCCACACCTCTCTACTCTAGTCTAAGCTAACTGAACAGTTACAGCATACCTGATGGTGATTTAGCGAAGTGGATAGCGGAGCGTAAAGCGAATTATCCGACCAAGGCTCGTGTGGCACAGAAGAAGGAGGCAGGAGTATTCTCGACACCGGCACCTAATGCTAACGACGGCAAAGAGACTGTCATCACCCAGGTCGATCCGGTCGAAAAAGAAGCAGACCGTCTACGTAAGAGGTTGGCGAAGCTCGACCGCCAGATTGAGAAGCGCAAACGTGCACCTAACGATGAGGGTGACGAGATGCGCTTGGAGTCTTCGGACGATGAGTCGGATGACGAGCAACCTGAAGCTTTGCCGACTGACAAGTCGGCTAGCGGATTTCTGCCTCCTCCCCCGATCACTCGAGCTGACCCCTCGAACCACTGCAAGTACTACTCTACGGGAGGGATTTGCGGCAAGAAGGGCAAGTGCCGTTTTGTACATGACCCGGCCGTTCGCGAGGCTGCTCTTCAGGAGCGGACGAGAAACGGAGGTCGAATGACTCTCAAACAGCGTCTCCTCCTCAATGACAAGGATCAAGACGACATGGAAGTGATCAAGACGATTGTGGATATGCGCTCCAGCGGACGCTTACACGATCCTCATACCTCTGCCGATCAGCAGGACAAGGAAAAGGTTGCCGTCGCTGCTGTTTCTTCGCTACCCACTACTGGTGGAGAGGCTAACCTACCACCTAACCCGTACGCACACCTGAAGAGCGCGGATAGAAACCAACAGTACCGCAAGCCCAAGAAGCCTAGTGATTGGTCCTCCCCCACCCAAAACCAAGGATGGAATATTCCCGGCTACGGAGGTGCTGGCATGCCACCTAAGTAGTTGCCACAGTTATGCTCTGGATGGGTATAACTCTCCCACCAATCCGACTCCAGTTTGCAGTGCACAGATTACAATTTTCCTCATCAATGTGATGAGTTTGAGCGATAAAAGCGTTGCCATGTGGCACGTAGCAGGCCATACGCGCCTTTCGGATTAGTTATCCACCAAATATTAGGGGATGCTGAGTTTCTAACAATGGTTCGACATATTCCTCGTTACCAATCGCGGGACGTCATAGTTCTCACGTCATTTTCAACCTATTCGTCGTTCGTTTTCTTCGTCCAGGACCTGCCAAGCTGTAGCAGGCGTTATGACGTTTGCGTTTATTTCGGTCTATTAGTATTTCCCATACTTTACATTCCTCTTCGACACGAGCGGATTAAACAAGAGATTGAATTTTATTTTACTACGTGGAGCGATTTCCGCCTTTGCTCTAAATTGCATTTCTCGACATTTTCCAATTTTGGTGATGGTGATGGTGAGCGAGTTCCGAGACATCTCCATACACTTGCACCCGATTTATCTGCTGTCATGGTCACTATTATGGCATTTGGGGGGCGTCTGGCGCGGGCACCGCTAAAAGGGCTTGCAAGGACAAGCCTGGTTAGGGAAGGATCGCGGATTAAGTTGCTGGCGTATATGGATAGATATTAGGTAGCTGGCGTCTGGATTCATAGGCTGGCTGGTGGCGTGTGTAATTTCTAGTTCCTACTATCTCGCTTTCGTACTGGAGTATTTGACCATCTCTATTATATTTTCGTTTTAATTTGTGGATGTGATTTAACCTGTAGTATAGTATGGTTACGCTATTTGATTACAGGAATCACAAAGCTAAGGTTGGGTGCTATGGGTTTTAAGAGGTTAGATTCAAATCAAATTGGGAGTCATGGTTTTTGAGTATCTCATAATATCTTTTGAATATCTACTTTTTTTTTTCATCTCATTCATCTACCACAGATATTGGTGTCGGCTTACTCGCATGTCTATCAAACGCCTGACGCCATTTTTAATGCATCATGATAGCTACGTATCTTCCTTTTCCTTGACGAGTGCTCATCTATCCCACCCCAAAGATGTCCACCTAGAATAACTTATTGTAGTAGTAGTAGATACCTAGGGTCGCTTTCTTCCTCTCGTCATTTCGTCCATGTTTCTGTTGGCTAAATTTGAACCAACCAACTATACACGGACCGGAAGTTCTCCCATCGAAGTCAGGATTTTCGTCATCTCCTGTCCCCATTCCTGTTTCCTTTTTTTTTTCCTCCTTTTCCCATTTCCTCGACCGAAGGTGAATATAGGGGTCGTAAACCACACCAGTTTAAACTAGCAGCACCGCATTGACGCACCCGTCGTTCTCGCAGTTGTTCGTGATCTGGGCGTAGCGGGCCCAAGCGACCTTGCCGCCGGCAGTGACAAGTCCGAGCTCGGAGACGTTGACTTCGATGATGGTCCCTTTGCTTAGAACACCGAGCTGGGTGTACAGCGGCTGCTGGGGGTTCTTCTTGACGCTGACGATGGGGAGCTGCAGCGTTACGCCTAGCTCGGGGTGCGTTACGTTGGCTTTCTTGTATCTACGGCGGGAGATTAGTATAAGCCGCTGAATACTGGGGATATGACAACAGTCTAGGTAGATATAAATGGAAAAGGGAATGGAGGTTATAGACTCACCGTAGACCCATAGGCCGTATAAAACGCTCGTACTTGACAGGCCGCCTCGTGAAGTCGGGGCCGACAAAAGTAGGCTTGGTAACCATGCGCTTCCAGCTCTTCTTGTGGATCTTCTTTCCGGTGCTGATGACCTTGAACATCTCGTCCTCGCTGATGCCGCGGACCTTGGGGAGGGGCACGGCGAACTTGGCGGCCTTCTCGGCGCGCTTGTTCTTGACGGCGGTGCTGAGGGCCTTGGCCTGGGTCGGGTTGGAGCGGTCGAGCAGGTAGTTGGGCAGCGGGGTCTTGGGGTCGTTCTCGGACGCCGACTTGACGTTGCGCTCCTCGTGGGCCTTGATCTGCTTGCGCATCTGGATCTTCTCCTTGTGCCGCTTCGCCTGGTGCAGCTTCGCCCTTAGACCGCGCAGGTTCTGCGCGTCCTTGGACGCCTTGTGGCCTTCTCGCGCCTCGCGCTTCCGCGCCCGCTCCTCGTGGTCGAGACGGCGACCGTGGGTCTTGCGGAATCGCTCCATGTACTCATTTTGAGGCTGTCGTGGACGATCTGTTAGTATTATGGGTACCTAGGCTTGTCTTTGGGAGGAGGAGAGAGAGGAGGAATCTTACCATGATGAATGGATTTGCCCTCGAAAGGGTCTTGCGAATTGGCTAGAAAAGGTTCTCTTAGATCGATTCCGGAGTTCAGTACCAAATCAACAGGTAATTAGAGATTATATTGTATTGTATTGTATTGAGGTGTCGGTAACCAGTGATAAAAAAGTTACGGCGGTAGTTGTTATCGATCAAAGGACCCGCCACTATCAAAATTTCCAGAGCTCCAGCCACATCGATTAGATAGATGTATTGTATTGTACCTCAGTACTCCTGCAAACCACAGCAGAAAAACAAGAGTCTCCACTTTAACTTTTCGACCCTCCGTCGACTTCAAATATCACAATTCGGAGCTGTCGACACTATTTTTCGGCGATTCGAAGACGCCGGGGATAGCCACCAATTGGACCAATTACCTAACAGACCGGCCGGCCAAATATCCTCCTACGACACGGAAGAAGGGAGGATCCATATAACAAAATGAGCCGGTCACTACTGCGCTCCGTCCTGGAGCTTCGCACGCCTATAACACGCCTCCCACCAACCTTCCTCCTCCCGATCCACGTCCGCAGCCTCGCGACGACAGCAGCAAGACGCAATATCGAGCCAACAACGCCTCCGAGCGCAACACCCACGCAACCCACCGTACCCCCCATAACACCCTCCAAGCCGTCCCCCGCCCCCTCAGCATCCCCCTCTCAGTCCCAAGCCCACTCCCCCGCAGGAACGACATCGAGCTCCGTAACAGAACTCTTCCCGCTGCTGCGCGCGCAGCCCGCGCACTACATCACCATCCACATCCACGGCCGGCCGTACCTAGTCACGGAAGGCGACCGCATCCGCCTGCCTTTCCTGATGCACGAGGTCCTGCCGGGCGACGTGCTGCGCCTGGACCGCGCGTCGACGCTCGGATCCCGGGATTACACGCTTCTCGGCAGTCCGCACATCGACCCCTCGCTGTTCGAGTGCCGCGCCACTGTCCTCGGCGTCGAGTCCGAGCCCATGCGCATCAAAATCAAGACGAAGCGCCGGAACCGCCGCTCTCGCCGCGTCGCGAGTAAGCACCGGTATACCATCTTGAGGATTAGCGAGCTTAAGCTACTTGGGCCTCCCTAAGGGTGTCTGTGGTGATGTGAGGGGTGAAAATAAAGGGGAAGAATCGGTTATCCGTTCTGCTACCTATGCGACTGTATTTGTCGTGAGAATACAACCGTGGAGAGAATACTATGAGTCCAGGTCAGTCGGTGGTGGCCTTCATGTATGTAACACTTACGAAATGGGCTTGCAAAATATCCGACAAGCTCCATGTATAAAACATGAATTCAAACATCAGGAAAAGCAATATACTAGGTCCTGAGACTAATGCACACATAAGAGATGGAAACATGCCCACTCGAACCACATGTTCACTTATACCAGTAACACATCGCAGAAAGACTAGAAGCAATAAAATTAAATGTTAAAAATGATCAGGTTTGAGTTCTCATTAAAAAGTAAAGTTTCACGGAAAGCGTAAAAACAACCACAAACGTATCGCTAAAATCAACCACAGCCCCAACAAGCCGTGTCTAACGATGAAGCATCATCCCGTGCCTATCCTGAACTCCGTGGCTAATGCGGCATAAGCGTGAGCAGAACATCAGGGATATCTCTCGATGGGGACGATACCTCTCCCCAACGACTTCTTGAATGGTAAAAAAAGGGAATTTAAACAACGGGATTCTAGTATCCCAAAAACAATTGTCCATCCACACGAGCCCGTACGTATGCAAACGGGCTGCCATCCCCTCTTATCCAGCCGTAATTTTTCAGTTCCTCAGTCATAAGTCATGTTTTATTATTAGCTTTCCAAACCCCGTCCTGTCTGTCACCTTGTGTCTTCGGGAGCGGCTCTCGAAGCCACCTCTCTGCCAACAGCTTTAGCGACGCTGCCCCAATAAGCCTGAGGCCAGACGCTTAGTGCCTCGGCCTCGGTTGGCATCCTCTCGCGACACCGGGTAACGACGCTCTGAATAATTCGTCCGAGCAACTCTTCGGTGATAGGTAGCGTCCCTGCCGGCGCTTCGACGGGGTACAGGAACGGGTCCGTCCTAGACAGCAATTCTTCACAAGTGGGACGTAGGTGCTGGTCGCGGCTAAGGCAGCGCTTCATAGTTCGCAGGAGGCTGGGAGGGACAGATGCTCCGCCAATGCCCTTGTCGCGGAACTCGATATCGTACTGCCAATTGATGATGGCGTGGCAACGTGCCATCTGGTTAGGGATATGGCCGAAGGGTGGCGTGCCATACACCATCTGGAACAGTATGCAGCCTAAGCTCCAGATATCGCTTGGTTTGCCCAGCTTCATAAGTTTGGGGCGCGGTGCATTGCCGATGGAGGTAATGCGGTGGCCGGCGGAATCAGTTGTGTTAGAGTCGAGAAGACTCTCCGGACTCATATAGTTGGGAGTGCCGACCTGGGTCTCACGGTGCACATTGACGGTCTCGTCGGTCTGAATAGCGTTGGCAATGCCAAAGTCGATTAGCTTCAATCGACCTTGAACAACAACAAAGTTGGCAGGTTTCAGATCCGAGTGGACGATATCATGGACGTGTACCGCCGCCAAACATTCGAGCATCTCCTGCCAGTAGTAGCGCACGAAGACTGGATCAAATTTGGCATTCTCGGGCGACAGCCGGAGGCGTAGGAGCGTGTTAAGATCCAACTCGCCCATTTCCATAAGCTATTTTTTTTAAATAAGAACCTGGTTAGCCCAGTCACGCCTGACCTCTCAAGAGGCAATAGGGGCACCATTTAAAACTCACCAGGCTGAGGACCTGTTTCTCTTCGTTCATCTCGTAATCGTATAGAGTGACGACACGCTCGACGTTATTTAGCTTCTTCAACAGGTCGATTTCGCCTTTATAGCCTCGGACCGTATTCTCGTCTGCACCCTCGATAGAGACGCGCTTCAACGCAAACATCTTCCCGTTGTCGGCTGCAACTCGGTATACCTTTCCGCTACCTCCACGGCCGAGGGAGTCGAGCCTCGTGTAGCATTTTCCGTTGACTTTCATGTAATTTCGTCTCTTCGCCGCTTGTACCGTAGTTGCTGCTCCAGCTGCAGAGGTAGCTGCGTCCAGGATCGACATCTTGGGTGGAGGCGCCGGTGCTGCCCTACGAGGTGTGTTCTGGCTCAGAGAGCTTAATGCCTTGCGGTCCGGAGAGATAAGTCGTGCGGAACCCACCTCGGCAGCACTCGAAGGACGGGCTGAATTCTTAGGCATATCTTTCTCCAGAAAGCTTCCTACAGGGGGTTTGTTCCTCTTGAAGGTCGGCGGGGCCTCGTTCTCCTGATCTTGTCTCGCCGGCATTTCGGATCGAGGGGGTGGGACCCGATAATGTGGGATTGGAATTTCGTCTTGTTCTGGTGAAGTCTGTCGTGACCGTGAGACGTGTCCATTTTCCGCCGCAGTAGACAGTTCCCTTCTCTGGGCCGCCCTTGCAGATCCCCTAGAGCTAACAGGACTCCCCATGGCGAGACGGTCGGGCACGTAATACGAGGACGCAAGGTTATCTAACGGATCGTAGTCTTCGGGACCCCGAGCATGAGGCGCATCGGATTCCTGACCGGATCGGAGAGGTTCTCTTCCATTCTCGGCGTCCTCTTCGCTTTGTCTTCTTCGTCCTCGGCGTGCTGGGCCGCTGAGAAACCTGCCAGGAACCTTTCCTACTCTCTTAACACGCATTGAGCTCTGCACTGCTTGATTTTCGTCGTTGCGATTCCTAGATCCGTTAGAGCCTAACCTAGAGGCGCTTCCCGGATTGGAAGACCCCTGTTGCCGGGGAACAGTCTGAGGAGCATCGGGAAGGTCAGTTTCGTCAGATGGCACGCCGTGAGAATGGAACGATGAGGCTAAGTCAGTTGGCCTAGAAGACATCGCCGACGAAGCCGACGAGCGACCCCTATTGCCCGACGATCCGACAGCGATTCTGACCACGCGCCCTTGCTGAGCCGGCGTATTTAAATCCTTCTCCTTGATCAGCGAACCATTAGCCTTCTCGTCCGCGACACTATCAGCTCGACTTGGAGGGCGGTTCCTGCTTTGCGAAGCGGAGAACGACGTTGACGTTGATGTTGACCTCCTCTTTGCGGGAGCTTTAGGCAGCGAGGTAGCAGCAGATGTTGCAGACGCAGCACTTAACCGGACGACACGCTTCCTGACGGGGCTACTTTCTCTACTAGGCTGACTTCTGACAGGTGAGGTTGGTCTTGATGGCAACTGAGAGCTGCTGGCACGGGTATGCCTTCTCTCTTCGCCGATTGAAGCTGCTGATCCGAGGACGCTGCGCCTCTTGGCAGGTTTGTCTTGCTCTGCGTAGACGGGCGACGAAGGGCGATGGGCTTGAGCCCGAGTTCTAACGCGTCCATTGTCTCGTTCTTGTTCAGCTCCCTCGTCGTTGAGAAGAGCTTTGGTAAGAGCGCTGAGCTTCATAGGCACAGGGATCTCGTCATCTGAACTATCATTGCTCGCGTATTGCGACTTGGAGGCATGAACGGCATGAACTGGAGCTGGAATATTGGATTCGGCACGGCCGATCTGCGATCTAGAGGGAGCCCTCCTCAACCCCGATCTTAGCGACGATTTTCTCGTTACAGCGCCCGGATGATGACTGGACGCTCCGGGCGTCGGCGATGCGGAGGTCATTATGGTGTAAGCTATAATTATATGGAGTTGAGAAACAAAGCAAGCGGGTTATAGCGCGTCGAATTGGCGAATTGGGCTATTTTATTGTCGATTTAATGGATATTCTACGTGTCAAAGCAGATGATGGTCCAAAACATTATAGTTTGGTAGTCGGGTCGAGCGGATGGGGCGCGGTAATGCAGAAGTAATTGGCGCGGTCGTGCTGGTTGAAAGACGTCTGAATTGTTCTTGGTTCCCCTGCTTCGATTGGCTTGGCGTCTTTTTCGTTTTTTTATCCGTTGCTAGGAGCAACGCCCACATTCCCTTTTTGGTAGCCAATTACGTGTTGTTCGCTAACTTTACTACATAGGTACATACCGATGCTAGCTCGCTTATGCAATCCACAATTATGGATATTGCATAACATTCGCTGGATAAAGATAAACAACCCCTCCATACCTAATCGACTCGTAATTTTAGACGATGTGATGTTGTAATGTTATATATAAGTGAAGGCGATGAGGCTCATTTTAGGATGTTTACCAACTACATACTATGGTAACATCAGCCGAGCTACCTAACTTAAACTACCCTATTCATCACGCTAACAAAACCTTCCATACAATCGTCCATACCCTAATTAGCCTTGCATGCTGCTAAGTTGAGACGATAGATTCAAGTTATGCCAATGCAGATTTAAAGTTCACAAGTACATTCACATGGGCGAATCAAAAATTGAGGGACTCAAAATTCGGAGAAGCAGCACTGTATTTTTCCTTAACCGTCTCTAGATGCCTTAGTTGATCAAACACAGACCCTTCCACGCCGGATACCATGTAAGACCATTGCCCAATTCCGTGCCACCTCCCCGAAAACGCATGACTTCGTTGCCGCAACCATGTGCGATATCCGCTTAGTCGAACAGACCGAAGCCCATGTCCTCGTCGGACTCTTCCTTCTCTAAAGCCATTTATCAGTGTATAGAACCAGATATGATCGTAGTAGGTCGTGAACATACCCTCTTCCTTCTCTTCGGCCTTCTCCTCGGCGGCAGCAGCACCACCGGCAGCGGCAGCGCCGCCAGAGGCAGCACCGCCAGCACCGCCAGAGGGAACGGAGGCAAGCTTGCCGGAACCCTCAGAGATCAACTATGATATCGTGTCAGCTCAAATTTACATTTTCCGTGCGTTTGTAGTTTCGGATAATCGTACCTCGTTGATGTCCTTGCCCTCTAGCTCAGAGATGAGCTTCTCTAGACGCTCGGTATCGGCCTCGATACCAACGGACTCGAGGACTTCCTTAATGTCGGAAGCGGAAGGCGAGGTGTTGCCACCAAGGCCGAGGAGGAGGTAAGCTGCGAGGTGCTTCATTTTTTCTGGTTTGTTCTGCGCGCGCGATCCTTTGTTAGCAGAGTTGTTTTTCTTGGGCGAATTGATTTTTGCGATGAGGGGTGACCGCGGGGTGGGTAAGATAATTCGTACCGTAATTCGGCAACGTTGAATGTTTCGACAATGATATGGGAATGCTTCAGGAGAATTGACTTACGAGAGATGAGAAGAACACGAGAAATCAATCGATTTAACCGCGGTTTTGGGCGGAGACTGAGCCTTCGAGTTCTGTGGGAAGTTCGGTGTTACGAGGTTGAAGATTGAAAATTGATGACTCTGTTCGGCAGAAAAGTTTCCTTAGATTTTCGGTGCGCCTAGATTTGACTGTGGGCAAAGTGGAGAGTGGAGCCTCGCCTATCACCTGATTAGGGTCGTCTTCGATATTTCTCTACTCCTCCAATCAAAGTTCGCCTTCTTACTCCATAATCCATGTGGCTTGACTCTCAAATTTACCCCCACTCAGACATCCCTAATGGCGAATTACAGTCTTCCATGACATGACGTAGATCAGCCACACTTCCGGTTGCTGGAGTACCTAGAAGTTGAATCAGGCTTAGAAGTATTTCGTACTTGGGACGTCTTGTTAGGAGCGGGAACGGCACGAGACTTTCTTTTTGTCCAAACGCCTTCTTATCATCACTTCTAACACTTAACGACCATCCAGATACCCGCATTCTTTGTTGCTCGATCAGCCGACGCATTCGTTTTCTTGCATAAGTCGCATGTGATACCATTTCTCAATTATAGATTTGTTACAGCTGGTCAATCTGGCCATATTTCACTATATTTTTGAGGTCGCATCGGGGTCTTGGAAAAAGAGTCATCGCACATGCCACAGCCCGCCGACTTATGACGCCTCAGGCACACTATAAGCTCCTGGCGGCAATTAGGATACCCTTCAGAGACTCTCCCTCGTCATCCAACAGACATCCAGTCTTATCATAATGCCGGTACGTGTCATTTTTTCGACTACTCTTCTATCGTGCTTACTTCGGTTCTAACATCTTGCGCACGAAGATCGGTGACCTCCTCGCCGAGATCTCTGGCGGGAATCCATCCTCCGAGCTACGGCCCAAGACGCCGATATCGACCGCGGTAAAGCGCAAAGCCGATGACGACTCGCATAGCACAACGTCGAACAAATACCCCAAGTCGCGACAACAGGACGGAACTTACTCGACAAGTAAGACCACCCGCGATGTAAAGACGGATCCCATCGATCGACCGAAGCCCACCACCGCGTCTGCAGCTGTTAAATCTTCGTCTCTACCTCACCGTACGAGCTCGCCGTCCATTAATGGCCGCTACCAACCTCCGGTGCCAAGTGTGCAACGTACAGGCGTCTCATCTTCGAACGGCAGGCTGGGATCCGGATCGGCATCCAACATATCCCAGCCCAAGAAGTCGACAGATCAGATTGTTAGTCGGCCAAAACTTAGTGCATCTTCACTAGCAGCCGCTTCTAAAGCGCCTCCTGCGAAATCGTCGCCCACGACTCCGACCGCCTCAGACCCGTCCAAAGCGCCAAAGAAGGGTTCGTACCAGGAGATAATGGAACGTGCTAAAAAGGCTCAAGCGTCGATGGGTAAAGTCGGTATGATTCAGCACAAGTCCATCGGAACCGCTAAAAAAGAGCAGCCCGCGAAGGCGGAACAGAAGCCAAACGGTGCCAAAGGGAGAGATGGCAAGCCGTATCTTGGAAATAGTCGGTCATCCACAGCACCTCCTCGTGGGGGCGCGAGACCCGGAACGGCGGTTCGTGATGCAGGTCGGAATGGAGCCGGAAAGGATGCTAAAACAAGTGGCAAGTCGAGGCCTGGCTCAGCTGGCGGGGAAGCACTGGAAAAGAAAATCAAAAAGTCCGCGACAGCTACTACGGGTTATACTGGAACCGCTCGCCCCCGACCTGGTGCGGCATCGGAGAAACCATCAGCATCCAGGAAAGGTAGCTCAGCTTACAAAGCCGGCGGGCTTCTTGCACCCCCAAGGCCAAGTCGTCGGGAGGAATACGAAGATGAATATGATGAGGAATTGGACGATTTCATCGAGTACGATGAAGATGACGAGCCTGGTTACCGAGGCGAGAGGTATGGTGGATATGATTCAGATGCCTCCAGCGATATGGAGGCGGGCCTTTCGGATATCGACGTAGAGGAGCGAAGAGCTGAACTACTAGGTCGCGAAGAGGACAAACGGGAGCAAGCTCTCGAGGAGAAACTCAAGCGGGAGAAGGAGGAACGAAAACGACGACTTGGCATAGGCCGTTAAGATCTTACTTTAATACTAATCTGCCCATGAGCGACAGAGTTCGGCGCAGATATTCACAAGATGGCGGCTTCTTCATATTTTACTTCGTTCACGCTTACTTTAAAAGACATGGTTCATGTAGATGGAAATTGCATGGAAGACGGCGTTCTATGATATTTCCACGCCTCCAAGGTAGACCTTGGTGAGCAATGGCGTTCTTCGTTCTTCATACATACCCCGTGTCAGGGTCGTCAACAGGATAATTCAATGGTTTGATCACATCAGCGTAGTGTAGCCTTGGATGTTTTTTTTTGACAACATTACAGCACTGTACATTTTTAGCGACTAAATGATAGTTGATAGTTGGTAGTTACTAATACGCGCTTTACTTCTTCTTTTCGGTGTGGCAACTTGACACAAGTAGCCTCTTCATCTTGATATCTTAGTCTTAGAGGTAGACCTTTTTATATCTTGTTTGATCATAGGTTGTATAGATTGTAATTACCTAGGGTAATTTAAGGTACCTAGGTAGTAGGTAGGTTACTCTTGTAAAATCGAGGAGGCGAATAATTTGGAATTGTTGCGGCAAAAGAAAACATCGTATATATATGTTCCCTTTAATAAATATTTGTCATTTATAACCCCCCCTTTGATTCTCGACCCAGAGTGTATTATACCATGTACGGATTACCAAAGAGAAATACCTTGGCTAAAATTGTCTTTCGTGAACCCCTTCTTAATTCAAGCATCCAAAAACCTTCTCGAAATATGTCTGTATATACGAAGACCTGACTCGTCATTCTAATAATAGTCCAGCTTAGGACGTCAGCTTGCGCTTCAGGTAGCAAAGCAGAGCCTTATATCAGGTTTGAAGCAAAGTTTTGCTGAATTTAATTTAACTAGTTAATATAAATGTTCGTCTTTATTATGGCCCCTTTTCTACCATCTTCCATTAGCATCACTACTATCAACTTCGCCATCTCAACAATAATGTTCTTCAAAGTGCGCGAAACTGGGCGTAAGACTACTACATGATTGCGACAGTTCGATTAAGTCAAGCCATTCGACGAGGCATGAATAGTTTCTTACTTAAACAGTGGCTTGAGCAAACATCCTTAGGATAAAGATGTAAGCCTAAAGCTGTAGCGAAGGTAATATACGAACCAAGAGACTGTCAGATAAACTGGAACTAGGGGATGAAACCAGACGAAAGACCAGGATGATTGGTCCTATGAAGTTAGCGAGAACAATAAGAAGACGCATAAATCCCCCCTGATGCTAAGACAGCAACGAAGCCGCCTATTCGCAGAGAGAATGCCCACCAGCACACCGCACCATCCTACAAATCGTTCGAGAAGGCTACTGTGGAGGTGCTCAAAGATTGCCTTAATGAGGGATATCCTTTCGCCTTCGGGATGAAAACCTATAGCCTACTCCATAGAAAACATATTAGTCCAGACAGATATAGGCTCGGTATATTATAGCCCGATATCTACCTCCGCTATTCACTAATATATGATCTTCGCAGAAAAGGACCCAGACAGCAAGGACATGAAGGATGAGCATAAGCATTGACTCCTAGCGGTTGGTTGCAAGGGGGAAGATAAATTGTTCATTATTCACAACGCGTGGGGAGCCGACTAGGGATGGCTACTTCTATATGTCATCCCACTGATTGAAGATTTCTGGACCATTCGTCTTGTGAAGTATAACCCCGAGAAACACTGACGAGAAGTAGGAGACATGCATAGGAACTAAATAATTATAAGCTACATTATACGTAACCGTATTTGCCCTGAAATATACCAATCGGCTAACCTAGGTGATAAGTCCACCGCAACAACATTATTGCTCGTTACATTTTTTAATCACGCCTATATGATAATACGAGGATCCTGCTAGATTCCAGCATTTCTACCTTTCTCCTTTCTTATCCTAAAGCCTATGGCTTAAAAATGACTATAGCGTAGGTTGTTGGTAGTTCTATGTATAAAGGGGGGGAGATAGAACCTTAGTTATACATCATTCGCAAGTATCCTGGCTAAAAGTATTACGTAGCGTAGAAACAAACGGGCTGCATCGTCATTAACTGAGAGGACGATCCACATGTTAGCTGACTTCTGTTACCCCTGCAGATAGTAGCCCCATTTGGGGTATTGGAGGTATTGGGGATGCATCTTTGAAGAATAACTCGTATTTTAGTAACCTATCGATAGGTAGTGTAACCAAGCCTTGTATTGATTGCTAAGGATAAGGGATTGAACCACGTGCAAAGTATAGCTATCAGATTAATATTTGATTAGCAAAGGATACCACAGTACATATAAGGCTTAGCTTTAGTTTGATTGTTCCTTTTTGGGGGGGGTCCTTCCGTTCTGCAGTTCCCTATTCTCTAAGCCTACCTGAGCCAATGGGTCGGAAAGAGGCTGAGCTTTCGTTAACCCATGGCTGCCAATAGTGGCTGGCCCAACTACCTAGCCAACTAGGAGACCTCAATTCTTTCGATGCAGGTGCAAGTCAGCAGCGAAACGCGGAAACTTGTAAATCATCGGCTTGGAACTTTCCTGTCCATGTCTTTTCATTTTGGATTTCGGATTTTCATGTTTTAATCTTTCGCTGTAACAACCTCGTACAGCAGCGAATTTTACAAGAAGTTGAAATTTGTAGGGAGGATTGCAAATTACCTAAATTTGATAGAAAGACGTGTAACATTTTACGTCTATCAATTGCATGTCCTTCTCTTTTCTTCTAAGCCGCAACCCGTAACCCGCAACTCGCACTCTGCAACCCTCGCGTCCTAATTAATGTGTTTCATACTCTCTTTTCCACGTCTCTCGTTCGAATCCGACTTCACACCTTTTTAACGGTCTTGGCATAACCCCGGATTTGTCTCGATACACTATTCGAAACCAACCGTCTATTCCTGTGTGATGCTATTTGATATCGTCGAAGTAATCGTCTTGCCAGTGCGCTTACTTGCGTATTGCGCCCCGGCGTCTACGTCTCTTCTTTCTCTCATATATATCTCTAATTGAGTGTCATCTGGATGACACTAAATCACCATGAATAGGTCTAGCAATTCGCCTCGAGACTCGCAACAAAATCCTTCCACACCCTCGTCCCAATCCATCCCCTTACAGGACCTCGCGAGACAACAACGCCAACATGATAGCCAGTCGCAAGGCGGGGCCCAAAGGGGATCTGCGGATCGCAATCTAGGTGTCTCGACATATTGGGATGGCTATCAACAGCATCACCACAACGCCGACTCGGGCCCGAGTCCTGGTGATTCACCGATAGACCCCAGTGCTCTGCAGTTCGCTTTACCTCCGGGGATCGATCCCTCGCCTCTAGCGCCGCCTCGAGCCACCT